GGGACTGACTTGTCCTCCACTACTTCAACTCTGTGGCCAAGATAAGTATAGCTGTGGGAAATTTATATTAATTTCTTTTTATTTTAATTTACAGAAACGAAGCACCAATGATGTGGTAAGTGCTTTCATGACCCAAGAGGGTGAGTTTAAGGCCTTTTGGGGTAAAAGGTGGTGTTACTGCTCATGCTCTTATTATGGATTTAAATTCCTTTATCAGAAATGACTTTGGTTCATTTGGAAGTCTGTAAGTAAGTTATAATGCATATCTGACCCTGTTATGATGTGGAGTCCTTATTGACTTGGTGGGCTCTGAGTTCTGCGTACACATAAAACACAGTTCGTATGCAGTCAGTAATGATGGCTCCTAACAGTGTATCTCCCCTTCCCAGCAGACTAAGGTACCACATGGTTATTTTCCTGTAACTCTTTAGCATCTGGGGGAATTTTGCTATGCAGACAGGACCTCCTACCCATACTTGTGTACAGGAGTGCCAGTACGATTTTTATAGTGAGGGTGCCAAGAACCAAACTGTAAACCCTGTATATGATGGAAACCACTTCAAGCCAGGGGGCACAGCAGCACCCTCAGCTCCAGCATATTTGTGTAGCCAGTTTGATCCAGCCTCCTTCCTCTGAGCACTCTGTGGGGGAGACCATCCCAGAGCCCATTGCCCGGTGTGTTGCTGGTGCGGTTTTCTGTGCATGTCACCCGTGCATTCTATTTCTTGCTGCAGTACTATGGGCAAGCTGCCCAGAATTTTCCGGAATGTGCTTGTCCGAACATGGCTAAACAGTCTGGTTAATGCAGTCACACAAACATGGTTGCGTTTTGAGGGGAAAAAAGCTACTTTGTGGACACAACCCAACCATGTTTTTTTGTTACAAGGTTAGAGGAGTGTCTTACGAAGAAATTGTTGCTGTTGAAATGTAGGCAGAGCTTTAACTCATCAAGCACCAGGGCTTCTGTCCACCTATCTCTCTCCCCATTACACAATATATTAAATAGAGACAGAGTAGCTTTAGGGGTAACTTAGTTTTCCTCATTTTAATAAAGTTCCTTGCCCTGTATTGGAAGACAGCTACTCTTTCTGTGATTACCATTGTCGCATGATTCTGTAGAATGGAGTTAGAATAATTGGCATGTATTTTTCACTGTAACTGGGGTTTCTCTTTCATTCTTCAGATCTTCAGTGGCATAGATATCTACAGCATGAAAATTGATAGCAAAGTGACATCTCGATTTGCCCACAATGTCATCACCAGTCGAGCTGTCAATCGTGCCAGTGTGTCTAAGGAAGTGTTGTTTGAGGTGGAGCTCCCCAAGACGGCCTTCATTACCAATTTCAGCATGTAAGTAGTTTGCTGCTAGCTTGTCTCAATAGGGTTGCCAACCCTCCCGGTTTCACCAGGAGTCTCCTGGAATCAGGCCCTATCTCCCAGAGGCTACTTAAAGCCAGACTGGAAGATTTTAGGCACTAAAAGTCCGGCAGCGCAGCGGGGCTAAGGCAGTCTTCCTACTGCGCTGGCCCAACGCCACTCCCGGAAGCTGCTGGCATGTCCCTGTGGCTCCTAGGGGCGTACAGAGATCTCCACGCACTGCCCCCGCCCCGAGAGCCGAATCCGCAGTTCCCATTGGCCGGGAACTGCGGCCAATGGGAGCTGCGGCGGCAGCACTTGTGGGAGCAGGCAGCGTGTGTAGCTCCCTGCCCTCCCCTCCACCACCCTGCAGGGACGTGCCGGCCACTTCCAAGAGCAGCGCGGGGCCAGGGCAGGCAGGGAGCCTGCCTTAGACCCACCCCACCACCAGCTGGGAGCTGCCCGAGGTAAGCACTTTCCAGCCAGAGCCCACACTCCTCATCCCCTCCTGCACCCTAACCCCTACCCCAGCCTGGAGCCCTCTCTTGCACCCCAAATTCCTCCCAGAGCCTGCACCCCACACCCCTTCCTGCAATCCAACCCCCGCCCCAGGCTCAGCCCAGAGCCCCCTCCCACATTCTAAACCTCTCGGCCCCAGCTCAGACCCTGCACCACCTCCCACACTCCAACCCCCTTCCCCAGCCTGGTAAAAGGGAGTGAGGGTAGGGGAGAACAAGCGACACAGGGAGGAGAGATGGAGTGAGTGGAGCAGGGCCCCGGAGAAGGGGCAGGGCAGGGGTGGGGCTTCAGGGAAGGGGTGGGACAGGGCAGGGCAAGGCCGGGGCAAGGGTGTTTGGGTTTGTGTGATTAGACAGTTGGCAACCCTAGTCTCCAACTTGCTGTATTTTTTTCACCTGCACAGTGACACAATTTACATTTAACTCGCCTTCTCATTTAAACATGGCACAGTAAAATGTAAAAAAGATAAGAATGAATTAGAACTGTCAATCACAGTTAACTCAAGCGATTAACTCAAAAAAATTAATCGCAATTATTTGCAGTTTTAATCGAACTGTTAAACAATAGAATACCAATTGAAATTTATTAAATATTTTAATGTTTTTCTACATTTTCATATATATTGTATTCTGTGTTTGGAATTGAAACCCAAGAGTATATTATTTTTATTACAAATATTTGCACTGTCAAAATGATAAACAAAAGAAATAGTATTTTTCAATTCACCTCATACAAGTACAGTAGTACAATCTCTTTACAATGAAAGTGCAATTTACAAATGTAGATTATTTTTGTTACATAACTGCACTCAATGTAAAACGTCAGCACCCACAAGTCCACTCAGTCCCACTTCTTGTTCAGCCAATCGCTAAGACAAACAAGTTTGTTTATATTTACAGGAGATAATGCTGCCCTCTTATTTACAAAGTCACCAGAAAGTGAGAACAGGCATTTGCAAGGCACTTTTGTAGCTGACATTGCAAGGTATTTACGTGCTAGGTATGCTAAACATTCATATGCTCCTTGATGCATCAACCAACATTCCAGAGGACATGATTCCATGCTGATGATGCTCGTTAAAAAAAAATACGTTAATTACATTTGTGACTGAACTCCTTGGGGGAGAATTGTATGTCCCCTGCTCTGTTTTACCCGCATCCTACCATATATTTCATGTTATAATCGTCTCAGATGATGACCCAGGACGTGTTGTTCATTTGAAGAACATTTTCACTGCAGATTTGACAAAACGCAAAGAAGGTACCAGTGTGAGATTTCTAAAGATAGCTGCAACACTCAACCCAAGGTTTAAGAATCTGAAGTGCCTTCCAAAATCTGAGAGTGACGAGGCGTGGCGCAAGCTTTCAGAAGTCTTAAAAGAGCAACACTCTAATGCAGAAACTACAGATCCCGAACGACCAAAAAAGAAAATCAACCTTCTGCTGGTGTCATCTGACTCAGATAGTGAAAATGAACATGCATCGGTCCACACTGCTTTGGATTGTTATCAAGCAGAACCCATCATCAGCATGGACGCATGTCCCCTAGAATGGTGGTTGAAGCATGAAGGGACATATGAATCTTTAGCGCATCTGGCATGTAACCGTGCCATGAGAATGCCTGTTCTCAATTTCAGGTGACATTGTAAACAAGAAGCGGGCAGCATTATCTCCTGCAAATGTGAACAAACTTGTTTGTCTGAGCGATTGGCTGAACAAGAAGTAGGACTGAGTGGACTTGCAGGCTCTACAATTTTACATTGTTTTATTTTTGAATGAAGTTTTTTTGTACATAATTCTACATCTGTAAGTTCAACTTTCATGTTAAAGATATTGAACTACAGTACTTGTATTAGGTGAACTGAAAAATACTCTTTATTTTGTTTTTATACAGTGCAAATACTTGTAATCAAAAATAAATATAAAGTGAACACAGTACACTTTGTATTCTGTGTTGTAACTGAAATCAATATATTTGAAAATCTAGAGAACATCCAAAAATATTTAAATAAATGGTATTCTATTATTGTTTAACAGGGCGATTAATCGCAATTAATTTTTTTAATTGCTTGACAGCCCTAGCATGAATGTTTAAATAAAAAAGAAGCACTGAAAACATGGACCAAACTGGTTAGCACTGGCTTTCTTTTCGTGCTATTTCAAACTCTTTGTTTGTCAGAGGTATTACAAATACCATAGCAAAAATGTGCGCACCAGGAGTAAGGTGGGGATAGTGTTTTATAGCTTCCTTGCCTCGTTATAGTTAGAGCCGAGTCATGCCATTTACAGTGCTAAGCCCCAGTCTCAGAAATTCTGTCTGCTCCAAAAGTGTTTGTTTTATTCTGGCTTATTTTTATTTAATCTACAATTTAGAATGAATTTAAATTTTATGAAAATGACTAATGTCCCTCCTTGATAAAAACTTCACTGGGAAATTCCTAGAAGAACAAATATACTTTTCGGGGCCTTATGTTTGTGCAAAGTACAGCCAATTTAACACCTATCTGATCCTAGATATGTGCACTAGAAGAGCACCTCTAGACCTACATCATTAAAACTAAAGGCTTCACACTTGAAGTATTTCAGTCAATGAGTGTGAAAACATTGGTTATTCGAAGATGTTAACTGAAGTTAATTAATTTTCTTTTTTTCTTTTCTTTTTTTCCCTCCTAGAAACATATGTTTGCTTTGCTGCAACCAACATAAGGTTTGCAGCCAGCATAGGAGGTTTGCCTGGAAGCAGAGGAGTTTGTTTAAAAAGAAAAATATGCTATTAAAATTAAGAGCCTAGTAAATAAACTGCTTTAAATACAGCTCATACAAATGTATTAGGGTGATAATTTGTCAAGCACTTTACTTGGGGCTCTGTGCAAATCTGGTACTAAGAACCTATTGTAAACAAACTGTCAAACCAAAAGGTTTGCCTGAAAAATATACATAAAAAATAAATGAAGCATTCATAGATACATTTATTTTCACACAGTTTTTTGTTTCATCTGCAGGACAATTGATGGCATCACCTATCTTGGAAATATAAAAGAGAAAGAAGCTGCCAAAAAGCAGTATGAGAAGGCGGTTTCACGTGGACATACTGCAGGTCTAGTCAAGTAAGACTCTTGCATCATAATTAAGTTTGCTTGTATTTCCACAGATCAGTGTGTACACCCTTATAGCATCGTTATTCACTTCCAGTCCCATTGGAAAAGTGTGTTCCTGTGTTTCATGGGAGTAATTTGAGACGCCTATATTGATATCATAAGAGCAGTTACTTACCCTACAATAACTGTGGTTCTTTGAGAGGTGTTGTCCTCACAGATTCACTTCTGATGTGCAAGCTTCACATGTATGTGAAATCGGATGATTTTTGGCTAGCAGCGTCCACTGGGGGGTGCCCTTGAGCCCTGGATATCCTCGCATCCTCACCAAGGGCATAAAAGGCTAGAGCAGATTCAGCCATTCCTCAGCTCTTTTGCCCGCATGGAATCCTGTTGTTGCTGGAGTCTGTATAAACAAGGAAGGAGGGTGAGTCTTGGAAATTGAATGAGCTCTAGCTCACATGGGTGGATCTAATCTAGCGATCTGATCATAGGATCGAATACAGTTAGATACCCATTTAGACAAACTGAGTGGAAATGGCTGGACCCTTAACCCTCTCTGAAAAGGCTACGGACAGTGTGAGGGAGCAGAGATGATCATAATCATCTCTGTCTGTTGACATAATGTATGGCTGTGGGTGTTCCCCATTATCAGCTGGATCCCTGAAGCAAGAGTAGAAGTGCTGTGCATGCCAGATATATGGCTCTGAGTGCCAGGATATTTATGTGAATATGAGTTTTCTGGGAGGACCAGAGGCCTTGTGTCTGAAGGTGTTCCAGATGAGTTCCCATTTAAATGTGGAGGCATCCATCACCAATATCTTTGTAGGCAGAGGTGCAGAAAAGGATGCTCCATTGGACACATGAAGCAGGTCTTTACACTAACCTGATGAGGAGAGGACTTCTCGCAGGACCTTCATCTTCATGTCCATCAGGTGCTTGCTGGGTAAGTACATGGATTTCAACCACCCTTGCAGGTGGTTGAACTCTGGCATGCTGAGTGATGTAGATGCAGGAGGCCATGTGACTCAAAGGCTGCCTGAGGCATGCTCTTGCAGACATCTCTGGGTGAGCCTGCTGATTGATGAGGTTCACTATAGTCTGGTTCCTCACCTGCAGTAGATAAACTCTTGCTGACCTCAAATCTAACACAGTTCCTATTCTAAACTTTGGGTTGGCAAAAGTGTGTTGTGGGTTTTTTTTGTTTGTTTGTTTTTATTTTTATCTTGAATCCCATTGTGGTGAAGAATCCTAAGATCACACAAACTGCGTTGGTCAACAGGTAGGGAAATTTTCCTAAGATCAGCCACTCATCCTGCATGCTGTGTTGTTTTAAGCGGGCTGTGATGAGGAACTTAGAGAATACTCTCAGTGCCATGAAAAGCCCAAAGACCAGCACCCTGTATTCATAACGAGTCTCCCACTATGAATCTTAAGTATTTTCTGTGTTCTGCATGTACAGACAGCTGAGAATAAGTGCCCTGAAGCTTGAGAGCCAAAAACCAGTCATGATGATGTAATGAGGGGATAACTGAGGCCAGATGACCATCCTGAACTTGAAATGAAAGATGAATCTGTTCAGATGTTTCAGGTCTAGAGTAGGACACCAGCTTCCCTTTTAATTTGGGATTAAAAAGTGATGGGGGTAGAACTCCTTGCCTCGGCATTCCATGTACTCCAATGCTCTGAATTGCAGAAGGGAATTCACCTCCTATTTTAACAGTATCTCATGAGAGGGTCCCTGAAGAAGGCCGGGGAAAGGAAGGGACTGGAATTGGGTAGAATACCCCTTGTTCATAATTTCCAGGACCCCATGTTCTGATTATCATTTGGACCTCTTTAGGTATTCCAGAAGATTGAACTGTGAAGCCCTGTGTATCACAATGGAAGTGGCTATCATATGTGGCACTGTATCAGAGACATCTAAAGTAGCCTGCAGAGATGTTTGGGCCACTAACTCTCTCTCAGACACTAGAGACTTTAGGTTCTCCCTGTGTTCCTGAGGAAACTGCTCGATGCAGTGTGATATCTTGTCCCAAGACATATAGTTGTATTTTGACAGAAACATCTGATATTTCAAAATGTTCATTTGGACACTAGCTGAGGTTATTTGTACCAAGGAGTTGGTACTAGGGGAAGTGTGCACCATGTTCGCAGGCATTGACCATCCAGTGGTGCTATGGTATCAGAGGATCCTGATGTGGGCTGTGAGCCACCTTTTGGCTGAAGGGCATAAGAGACAGAGATGTGTTTTGTGTCTAATTTTGCTGGTCACTGGCAAGGGTGACCTAAGCCTATGCTCACAGTGGGGGAGATGCTCTCCCTACTTCTTTCCAATGATGACTAGGTGGAGGAAGACTTGACTATTCTGCCTGATTCAGTAGTTGAGGGGTTTTGATCCCTTTGATGAAGAATGAGCCTGGCAGCTTGATGCAGAGCTGCAGTTCACATGAGCACTAGCCAAAAGTGACCGTTCGGGCTTTTTGTGATCTTTTGCCTCAGACTCTGAAGAGGCCCTCATCAAGTACTCTACAAGACAGGGCTGGAGCTGGATCTTCCTCTCTTGCTGCATTCTCTTAGAGAAGGAATGGCAGATCGATAATTTGTCAGGGATGTATCCTTGGCCAAGGCAGAAGTAGTAGAATGCCCAGCATTGAGCAGGATAGCAGCCTTGCAATAGGAGGCAAGTTTTAAATCCCTATGAGTCCTAGCACCAAGGGTATCCCCAAACCTATTCTAAATTTTAGGGTGCAAAGGGGATTGCCAATGGCATAAACAAAAAACTAATAACTACCTAAATATATTAATTACTATTAACTAGCCAAACAAGAGATTGTATGGTAGACAGAGTAAGTGAACACTACAGGATTTCTGTCTTGCTGCCATAAACAGTAAGAAGGAATGGAGGGATGGTTGGGCCTGCACCGCCCTGTATGCCCTCTGGTGGGGGGTGAGGGCAGGTGCAAAGACAATCCAGTGTGCAGGTGCTGCCCAGTGAGCATTGCTATTCCAAAAGAATCTGATCTCACATGCATGGGACACATGCACACCCAAGAGTGGAATCTGTGTGGACAATCACTCAGAGAAGAAACCATTTTTTTTATTCACCCTGATATGGGATTAATCTTGTAATTAATTCTGCATTTCCTTTCACCTGAGGACTTCAGCAAAGTGCCAAACTTGACAAACACTAATTGTGCCTCATCACACCACTAATATTTTCCTGCCTCATAGGGAGATGTGAATTGAATAACATATTTGATTCGCATTGATCTGTTGAATCTAATAGGCATTTATACTGAGAACACCACCATGGTATGTTAGTGCCTATTTGACAAGATGAATGTTTTTAAATACCACGTGGCAATTATTTGACTATTGGATGTATAATTGTGTGAAATGGTGTTAAGAGATCAAATTTAATCTAATTTCAGTCATTCAGTGATTGGATTTAAACTTTGTCCTCTGTGCTTTGTCATTCCTAACTCACTTTGGGAATTGGTATTTTCTATCCTCTTCAGGTCTTATACCACATGCATCTCTGTGTTGTCTGAAGCTATATATTCATTGCCAAAAGAGGTGTTTATTTACAACGAGACAGGTAACTTGAGATAGCTATCTTGGTTTAAAAATCCTAGTGGAGACAAGGCACTGGTAGTATTTACCTTGCTGTAGGTAGTTGAGGTCAACCCCAGGTGAGGGGAAGGATATACCTGACCTCAACTAGCTAGGTCAATCTTATATCTTCCTGTCTGGGGTTGACCTTGATGAGTTACATCAAAGTAAAAATGACCTGTGCCTTGTCTTCACTAGGTTTTTACATCAAAACAGCTATCGCTATGTAAAAACACAACCATTAGAATTAGAACCAATCTATTAGAATTCTTTGAGGGAGTCAACAAGCATGTGGACAAGGGTGATCCAGTGGATATAGTGTGCTTAGACTTTTAGAAACCCTTTGGCAAGGTCCCTCACCAAAGGCTCTTAACCAAAGTAAACTGTAATGGGACAAGAGGAAAGGTCCTCTCATGCATCAGTAACTGGTTAAAATATAGGGGAAAAAAGAGTAGAAATAAATGGTCAGTTTTCAGCATGGAGAGAGGTAAATAGTGGTGTCCCCCAGGGGTCTGTATTGGGCCCAGTCCTTTTCAATATATTCATAAATGGTCTGGAAAAAGGGGTAAACAGAGGTAAATAGTGGTGTCCCCCAGGGGTCTGTATTGGGCCCAGTCCTTTTCAATATATACATAAATGGTCTGGAAAAAGGGGTAAACAGTGAGGTGGCAAAATTTGCAGATGATACAAAACAACTCAAGATAGTTAAATCCAAAGCAGACTGCGAAGAGTTACAAATGTTTCTCACAAAACTGGGTGACTGGGCAACAAAATGGCAGATGAAAGTCAATGTTGATAAATGCAAAGTAATGCACATTGGAAAACATAACCCAAATATACATATAAAATCATAGGGTCTAAATTAGCTGTTACCACGAAGGAAATAAAACTTGGAGTCATTATGGATAGTTCTCTGAAAATATCCACTCAATGTTCAGCGGCAATCAAAAAAGCAAACAGAATGTTAGGAACCATTAGGAAAGGGATAGATAATAAGACAGAAAAATATCATAATACCGCTATATAAATCCGTGGTATGCCCACATCTTGAATACTGCATGAAGACCTGGATGCCCCATCTCAAAAAAGATATATTTGAAAAGGTACAGAGAAGGGAAGCAAAAATGATTAGGGGTATGGAACAGCTTCTGTGTGAGGAGAGATTTAAAAGCCTGCAACTTTTCAGCCTGGAAAAGAGACGACCAAGGGAGGGTATGACAGAGGTCTATAAAATCTTGACTGGTGTGGAGAAAATGAATAGGGAAGTGTTATTTACTCCTTCACATAACACAAGAACTAGGGGTCTCCAACGAAATGAATAGGCAGCAGGTTTAAAACAAAAGGAAGTACTTCTTCACACAATGCAGTCAACCTGTGGAACTCGTTGCCAGAGGATGTTAAGGCCAAAACTATAACCGGGTTCAAAAAAAGAACTAGATAAGTTCCTGGAGGATAGGTCCACCAGTGGCTGCTCAGGGATGCAATCCTATACTCTGAGTGTCCCTAGCATCTGTTTGCCAGAAGCTGGGAGTGTAAGACAGAGAATGGATCACTTGATGATTGCCTGTTCTGTTCATTTCCTCTGAAGCACCTTGACCACTGTCAGAAAACTGGATACTGCACTAGATGGACCATTGGTCTGACCCAATGTGGCCGTTCTTATATTATCATCTATTTCTGCAGTGAAGGCAAAGCCTGAGTACCTTCCAGTAGTGCTTTAAGTAATGTGACTGGTACCTGTCACTGCTGGAGAAGTAGTTTGCTGCTCTCCAAGAACCTCATAGCTTTCGACCATATATTTAAGTCATACAGACTGACATACAGCAACAGAGTCTCACGTTAAGAAGATTCTCTGGTTTCCCTATCTAGACACAGAGTGGGTGTGACATAGGGCAGCATCAGTGAAAGCTTCTCCACATTGTTCCATCGATGTTTCAACTCTGTCATGAAGCAACCACCTCTTAGATTCATAGACACTAAGGTCAGAAGGGACCATTATGATCATCTAGTCCAACCTCCTGCACAACGCAGGCCACAGAATCTCACCCACCCACTCCTGCGAAAAACCTCTCACCTATGTCTGAGCTATTGACGTCCTCAAATCATGGTTTAAAGACTTCAAGGAGCAGAGAATCCTCCAACAAGTGACCCGTGCCCCATGCTACAGTGGAAGGCGAAAAACATCCAGGGCCTCTTCCAGTCTGCCCTGGAGGAAAATTCCTTCCCGACCCCAAATATGGTGATCAGCTAAACCCTGAGCATATGGGCAAGATTCACCAGCCAGATACCCAGGAAAGAATTTTCTGTAGTAACTCAGATCCCACCCCCTCTAACATCCCATCACAGGCCATTGGGCCTATTTACCATGAATATTTAAAGATCAATTAATTATCAAAATCATGTTATCCCATCATACCATCTCCTCCATAAACTTATCGAGTTTAATCTTAAAGCCAGATAGATCTTTTGCCCCCACTGCTTCCCTTGGAAGGCTATTCCAAAACTTGACTCCTCTGATGGTTAGAAACCTTCGTCTAATTTCAAGTCTAAATGACCAGTTTATATCTTGTCGAGGTAGCTCAGTTTCCATAATTATTTAATCCTTGATGCCTGAAAAGAGGCCGGTAAATCTAGTGTGAGTTTTTGTGACATGGACACGTGTCCACTAACAACTAGGCTAATGCAACCGCCCCCTTTACACAGAGCACCAAAGAGCTATTGATTTCAAAATGGACTTTTGGTTACTATCACCCACTTCAGCCAAATTCAAATCAATATCCTAGGGCAATGGTTCTCAGCCAGGGGCATGTGTACCCCTGGAGGTACACAGAGGTCTTCTGGGGGTACATTAACTCATCTATATATTTGCCTAGTTTTACAACAGGCTACGTAAAAATCACTAGCAAAGTCAGTACAAACTAAAATTTCATACACACAAAATGAGAAAGTGAGCACTTTGTCAATAATAGCGTGCTGAGACACTTTTTTGTATTTTTATGTCTGATTTTATAAGCAAGTAGTTTTTAAGTGAGGTGAAACTTGGGGATGCACAAGACAAATCTGACTCCTGAAAGGGGTACATAGTCTGGCAAGGTTGAGAACCACTGTCCTAGGGTGAAGCCTCTAACTGCTGGATCCTGTGAGATGCTGAGCACCCTCAACCCCTACTGACTGCAATGCATCTATTAGGATGAAGCTCCAAATTCTCAGTGCTTTCTAGTTCACACTATGAAATCTCTCTTAATTAGCTGGCAAATCCAAGTTACTTTCAAGGAATGTCTAGTCAAAATACCTATTGCTGTGTAGATCAGAATTGAAACTGTAGTTTTAGGCATGTTAAAAACTATAAGAGCATTACATTCATATTGATTCTTAAAACAAGTGAAACCAGGGAAAAGATTTAATGGTTGTTGTGTGACAGCAATTTCTTATTGATAAGAAAAAGCATCCAGGGGTTTGTTATACTGGTGTTTTTCTGATTTGTAGTTATATTGCTTAACATTTCCAGGGCCTCTGGCAGAAAAACGGAAAAGTTCACTGTTTCAGTCAACATTGCAGCAGCCAGCAAAGTCACTTTTGAGCTCACCTATGAGGAGCTCTTGAAACGGCACTTGGGAAAATATGAGATGTTGATTAAAGTAAAACCGAAACAGCTAGTCAAACAATTTCAGGTAAATTGCTCTGGGATTTCATTTATATTCAGCAGCATTTATACAGAGCAGTTAAAAACTCTAGCAGGAATAGTGGGCGAAGAAGGGCACTGCTCCTAGGTAATGCCAGCTAAGTGTATATTTATATCTTAAGCTGTGTGCTCCAGGTGATAAATCCATTTACCATGAGTACAAGAACAGATAACCAATGTTTCAGCTGTCTGAACAGCCTTTATTAAAGGCTTTCTGTTCATTTTTTTCCACAGCTGTTGCAAAACAATATAAAACAGGAAGTTATTGTAATGCACTTGATCATGCATGTGATCAAGGTTCCCTCCTGTGGCTGGCCCCAGTGATTATACAGCATGCTGTGTTTGCTTAAGTTTGATTTATACTGACAACTGAGATGGCCACAGTTTATGCTGATGATTCCACAGCAATTGCACCCAACCATTACAACATCCAGAACCATGTGTCAATTCACAGGGGTATGATATCAGGCTTAATTTGCACATGAATTATCATATATTTTAAAATCAATAATTGCAGCCACAATATTTGCAGGTATCTCTGATCCTTGACAGAAGTCCAAGTATCTATTAATATCTATCTCTTTAATAGAAAATGCTTGTTCATTAACACTCAGTGGATTTTAGAGTAGCAGCCGTGTTAGTCTGTATTCGCAAAAAGAAAAGGAAGACTTGTGGCACCTTAGAGACAAACCAATTTATTAGTCTCTAACGTGCCACAAGTACTCCTTTTCTTAAGTTAATTTTATTTGAGCATAAGCTTTCGTGAGCTACAGCTCACTTCATTGGATGTATGCCATGGAAAATACAGTGGGGAGATTTATATACATAGAGAACATGAAACAACGGGTGTTACCATACACACTGTAAGGAGAGTGATCACCTAAGGTGAGCTATTACCACCAGGAGAGCGGGGGGACCTTTTGTAGTGATAATCAAGGTGGGCCATTTCCAGCAGTTGACAAGAACGTCTGAGGAACGGGAGGCGGGGGGAATAAACATGGGGAAATCGTTTTACTTTATGTAATGACCCATCCACTCCCAGTCTCTATTCAAGCCTAAGTTAATTGTATCCAGTTTGCAAATTAATTCCAATTCAGCAGTCTCTCGTTGGAGTCTGCTTTTGTCAGTGGATTGAAGCTGCATTGAATCAGCTATGGGTTGTATTTCTGTCCTGGTCCAGTTGCTGGTGAAGTTGGGGTGGGAAAGATGCTGTCCCTTCTTATTCTTGGCCTGTTAGCCAAGAGTTTTCTGTGTGGGCCATGCAACCCAAAAAATATCCCTGACCATCAGTTAACTGAGAAGGGACCCAGCCCTCCTCAAGTCGTCTTTTAGAACGGTAGAGTGGAAGAGGCTTTCCCCAGATGCCCTCTCTCCACTGCTCTAGCTGACACATATCTATATATCATCTGTACATATATATGGTAGTTGGGCACAGAGGTGTAGACGCTGCTTTGAGGAGGAGTTGCGGTTTGGCAGCTGCATAAGCACTAAATCAGCGGTGCCAAAACTTTTCCTCTCACCCCCCCCCTTCCCAGGAATAGAATGTGGCCATGCCCCCAAGCCAAGGGCCAGGAGCAGGGGCCAGGAGTCCCAGTCAGGTGGCACTCCCTTCCTACCCCTGTGTGGGGGCTGGCCTGGGCCCTGCCATGCTCCTCTAGTGGGGCACACCCCACAGTTTGGGGACCGCTGCACTAAATAGCTGCCTCAAAGGCAGTTATTGGGACTGGCATAAGCAGCTGCAGTGCCCAGACAGCCCACTCAGCTCCTGAAAGCTCTGCTCACGGGCTCCACCATCATCCTGACTTTGCCCCCTTACAAACTCCCCTGGTCTGACCACAGAGTTTCTCGTGCTGAACATCCTTTACACACCACCTGCTCTGTGACTCCACCCTCCAATGTCTGGCCTACTAATTGTTTTCACAAACTATTTCAGATTGAGGCAAACATCTTTGAGCCACAAGGTATCAGTGAGCTAGAAGCACTTGGATCATTTATCAACAATGACTTGACTCAGACCATTGAAAAATCTTTCTCTGGAAAAAAGGTATAACTATTACTAACCTTAATGAAGAATACATGGTGTTAACCTGATTGGGACGCTGCACTTTTTTCATGAGAATAATAAACTCCGATGCCATCCCTAGAAATGCAGAACCTAACTGATGAGTTGTCACTGGCTTCTTGTCTGGATTCATTTGCTCTCAAAGTACTTTTGCTTTTTGCATCTGTACCAGTCTGGCCAGAAGCAAAACAAGCAATCCAATGACTGCTTAGGGCCCTGCACAGGTCTGCATCTTTTAGGTCAGCCTGACCTCCTCCCTCGAGCAAGGAATTGAGAGGAAGCAATTGATAGCCTGATTTACTTACACACAAATATGGACACACACACACTCCAGAAAGTTGCCAGTCTTGTCTGAGGCCATACAAAGCATGAGACTAGCCTTGACTATGTATGCAAGAAAAATCAAACTATACATTTGTTGTGTCCTTTGCTCTTTACACAACATACATAACCTGAAGGAAGCACAGAGGCATGGTGGGGTCCAAATAACCATGTCTATTAAGTGCATATAACACTCAAGGCCTCGCGACATATATACATTGCTGCTGCCGGAAGGTTCTAGTGGCTTCTGAAACATGGAAGACAGGGAGGACTAGAAGAGGATTTCACAAATTATTTAGGGGGATGCAACCTAATTTTTATACATCACAATACCTCAAAATTGTGTTTTTCCCAAGATACATTTGAAGTTGTTGCCTTGTAGTGGAGACGAGCATGATACAGTGATCCAAACACAGGATGTCTAGGTAGGAGGATGGGATATGTGGCATATCTTTTGGTGGATTACTGTTTTGGAGAGGTGGCTCTTTTGCTTTTATTATTGGTAGCCCGTGAAAACTTATCTGTACATTACAAGCCTAGAGTATTGTATTGCAATAATAAATTGCAGTCATGTCTAAGTCTTAAAGTGATGAGTCATGCTGCGTCTGCATTGAATAAATTACAAAGAAGAAGGCAAGTATATATGATGATTATGACAAATATTCAGTATTTACATATCTTACTGGATACGGTAGTTGGATATATTTTAGGAAATTATGTGGTAGAAAAATATATTTAACTTTTTTTTCCCTGTAATTTTATAAAATTTTGAATTCTAACCTACTGCTTTTCAGGGCCATGTGTCTTTCAAGCCAACTATTGATCAACAGCGAACCTGTGAGAACTGCTCGACATCTTTCTTGGATGGAGATTTTACTATAAAATATGATGTGAAAAGAGACTCTCCAGGCAATTTACAGGTCAATTCAATGGTGATTTGGGGAAGGGAAGGGTGTTAAAGCCTAATCCTGCAAAGATTTTCACACACTAACTTTTCACACATGAGAGTCCCATTGAGTTCACATGTGTAATGTTAATTACATGTTTAAGTCTTTTCGGGTCAGCTCCTACATTTTGAGCAGGTGATATACACAGCCTGCATGTTCTCATGTGCATCATGTTCTTTGTTTTTCAGATTATCAGTGGATACTTTGTGCATTTTTTTGCACCTGCGAATCTCCCCAGGGTGCCCAAGAATGTGATTTTTGTAATAGACATTAGTCACTCAATGTTGGGTCAAAAAATGGAACAGGTAACTTACTAGAAACTTGAGCATAAAAAAGGATGCTCCTTGGCACAGCACATTTCTTTAAATAAAATAAGCAGGATTAATCAATTTCAAACAAAGTTGCAGAGTTTATTTTTATTACTTAAGAGTTATCTGTGAGGACCGGTTGCAGATGTTCTTTCCTGTAGGGGCAAGGTTGCGGAAGATTGGCGAGGAGCTAAGTGGTGGACTGAGTATGTGACTGGATGTAAGCAGAGGATGCAGGCAGTTTCAATGAACTTTGTCTGACAGACCCTGCCAAAAGATACTGTAGCATAGCTCAGCATATTTTTGCCTGTAAACCAGTCAGTTTATGCAACAAGCATCAATCCTACATGTAAGAATGTAACTGGCTGTTGACCCCATGTAACCCCGAGATAAGAGCGGAGAATATAGCGCCAGAGAGGACTCCCCCACGGTGGAGTCCTGCCTAGTCAGCTGTCCCCTGCAGCCCCTCCACATATCCTAGGGGCTCCCCGCGCAGATTGGAGCATAAGTTCTTCCTTCAATAAAGCATAGTTTACTATTCTTAGACCTGAGTGTCTTCCTTTCACTGGTATCTTCCCCCCCAGCCCTTACAGGCACATTTCCCAACCTCATTCATAAACCACCCTAGATAGTACTTTACTATCACTCAAAATGCCATAAAGCTCTTTTAGCATCCAGCACGCAACTGTTGCCTTAGGTTGTTCTATTATACTCTGCTTCACCTCCAGTTGGCTAAGCAACTGTATCATGGTAATAAATCCTAACACGACAAAACACTAGCTGAGGTTGCACAGATGGATTGTGTAAATTCTACTCCAGTTTTAAAAATCACTTGCGTTGACAGAAGAATTCTGAAATGAAAAGAGGCATTTTATGTGCTCCTTATATCTTTACCCAGAATGCTCTTCCAATCTAGGATTAACTCCGTAATTAATGCTTTCCAGCCCTCAGCCATTTCATAACTGAGGTCTGGGATCAGAACTTTAGCAACAAACCGAATTGGGCTGTGGTACAGGCATGCTGACTGCATTCGTGTCTATGCTCTGCAAGCCTGAACTGCATGGATATTCTTTTCCAGTTTTAGCCATTTTATATCTTTGTGTCTGAATTCCTCTTTAGGCCCATGCTAACATTCTGGATATAGTGTAAGGTTTGCCTTATTTTGCTGAAGCATTTGGGAAGGAGCTAGAAAGAACATAAGATAGGGTGTTTGATCATCTGGGAGTTGTAATATAGTGGACTCATGTTGGGAATGAATTATTGTTGCAGGCACTGGAGTTGAGCAGTTCAGTGTCATGGTTGGATGTGTTTGTCATTATTGCAAGAGGCATTCAGAGCTGGGAATGAACACTCCTAGCACATGTGTAAAAACTGAAATAAATACATACATTGTAATACCAGGCTATTGCTAGAACTGGTTGGGAATTTTTCAGCAAAATGTTTTTCATTGTAAACTGCTTATTCATGTAACCTCCAACTTTCCACAGGAAAAGGTTGGTCTCAACAAATTTCCTATTCCGAAAAAAACTTGGAAATGTTTTGAAATTGTCAAAACTTCCTGTTTTTGAAATGTGAGGCTTCTTTTTTGGTTTAAAATTTCAGTTAATTTATAGTAAAAAATAAATAATTAAAATGTTTTTGATTGGCCTTTTTAAGTTAGAACATTTTGACATTATAGATATTAAACATTTTGACTGGCCGAAACCAAAGGTTTTTTTTCTCAGCTTATTGGTTTGTGAACATTTGAGATTTTGACTTTCTGTCACAATTTGGAACAGGAAAATTTTTCTAAATCTCAAAAATGTTCTCAGGATGGGAAAACTATTTCTCATCCAGCTCTAACTGTTACACAGTGATGTTTGCTTCTAACAGGTAGACCAGTTTCTGTGCTGTGTATGTGGGTATGTATATGTCTCTTCTGTGGCAATTTTTATAAATATTATTACATACAAAAATTATATTACAAAAACATTATTTAGTTTGCAAAATCAAGTATATGATGGGAAATGCTAGTTTATGGTCCCTGTGCAACATAATACCTACTCTTACCCTCTCGTGTGTTCATTCTGTGCACTGAATTAATAAGGGGTCAGATGGAAAAGCAGTCTGTGATCATGTCATTAAAGACTAGATCATAATGCATATGCACAATGGGGCAGAATTAAGGCTGCACAAACCACGGTAAATTTAGCATTTCCTAGCTTCAGAACGTTGGACTTTGCAACCTAACTAGCACAGATTTTTAAATGTAATTTTCTAGGTTTTGTAAAGAAAAACAGTAAAAACAAATCTGATTCAGTTAATCTGTGATGTCCCCCTATGCATAATCATCAGGGTTTGAACACTGAATCTCCGGCATTTCAGCACAAATTTATACCACTTGAACTAGAAGACTAACTGTTTTAGCTGGCAGCCGCAGAATGCTGTGATCCCATAAGCAGGGAATAGGCTGCTGGGACCATGTTCTGGATCTGGATGGGTGGCTGAGGTGGGGAGACCACCTCAGTCCTTTCTTTTCTTCCCCAACCCCCTGTAGTTTGGGAAACTCCTGCCCCATATGGTGCTCAAAGAGTCGATGGATGGACTGCTAGGGCCATTTGCTGGGTCTGGAGAGAATATGATTGGGAGAAGAGGAACCTGGTCAAGCTCTTCCCCCCCATCCCCCAGCCTTCTCCCCCCACCACCACCTCTGCTACAGCTGCTCTGGCAGTTTGCAGAGTTTCTTTTGTACAGTGTGGGAACCATGGGCCCACCTTTTTATAATGGTCAGATATTATTTTGGCAGGCTGCCAAAATTTTCATGAGGATTGCAACTGAGAGAAGGGAAATGACTATTTTCAACAGTTTATAATTAAGGGTACATCTTCACTGCAGAGCTAGCTTAGCCCACATGAGTAGCATCTGGGTTAACCTAATCCATGTCTCAGCAGCCACGGGCTGCAAAACCGTACCTGAGCTACTGGGTCCTCACTGGTACTGCACTACCCCTTGTCTGTCGCTAGGACTGCTGGAGATATACCCCATCATTCTTTGTGCTGCAGGAAGCTGAGCCGCTCTATGATTCTTTGCCAGTGAATTGTGCAAAAACTTGTCTGTCCTTCTGAGCACATGGAGGGAATTGTGGGAAGGTATTGGAGGACTATTAGCACTCAAGTGGTTTAGCCTGCATCCTCACTGCAAAGTGAGGATGAGTGAAAGCGGCATCCAGTCTCTAACCTATACCCCAGCCAGGCCAGCTAGCCCAGGTTTAAAGCACCATGAAACTTGGGTGAGAGGCCTTTGTATATGGATGGGAAGGTGTCGGGGGAATATGGGGTAATACCGAGGTAAGAGCCCGGGTTAACTCTGTAGTGAAGACATGCCTTAAGATACCTAAATGGAATGTCATGAGACCAGTGAAAGGCATCTCTCTAGCCTGAACACTGTTTCCCTGCCAAATTGCAAAGTTCTGTGGCAAACAATGGAGGCAGTAGAGCATCTCAAAAAAAGATGGCAAGAATATCTTATTATGGAAAGCATCAGGTAATTTAAGTATAGGGGTTGTTACGAGCTGTCTCAATAATAAAATATGAACACGCTTCAGATTTCATGTTCTCATTTGTTTCTTTTAACAGTGATTATTATTTGTTCTAGACAAAGGAAGCACTGCTCAAAATATTGGATGATGTCAAAGAGAATGACCACTTCAACTTTATCTTGTTTAATAACAGGATAATACCCTGGAAGGAATACTTAGTCAAGGCTACCTTAGAGAATTTGAAGGAAGCACAGAAGTTTGTTCAATCCATAAAAGCCACAGGATGTAAATATCACTAAATTTTAACATATCTTTCTCTAAAAAAAATTTCATAATAAATACTTTGCACTTACATCTTTCCTCCAAGGATCTCAAATAGGGGCATGATGAAACCATATTTTCACATAACGAAAAACTGGTGTCACTCTTTGGCAAACAATGAATATGAATAAAAGGAAATGGAAGATGTATTTGCTGGTGGACAATTGACTCCAGCAGAAGAGAATAGGAAGGGATCTCTGGGTCTGAGGAAGGTGGCAAGAAAGAATCTGGCCAAAGATTGGGCATGGGAATAGGGTCTGGAGCCACAGAGGGCTTGTGAGTGAGTCATGAGCAGAAGGGAGTAGGAGGATTCGGCTGAGCTGGTGTTAGGTGAATGACTGCAGCATGTAATGGTGGCAGAAGGGATCCCAGCCAACAGGATGGAACAAAGAGGGACCTACAGCATTGTTCAAATGTTCTAAGGGGTTTGTAAAAAGCTAAGTATTTAGCATAATTAAAATTATACAATGAGCCAAACTGAAATGGCTACAACCATTAGCACAGTCGTATGATAAACCTCAATGCTACTGCACATATTGGTTTCCTTTTAGAAGCTTACCTTTCAAAGACATGTGCAGTAAACATGAAGAAAGCAATTGCAGGAGTAACCTGATTGCTCCCTCGTTTGATCTGAAGTTGCTGAGGGCCATAGCACCCCGTGCTAATATAAAACCACTCTGCATAATTTTTCTGTCTGTGCTACTGTCACATGGCTGTGAATAGAAGCGGTCAACAGTATCCTTCACTCCTAGAGAGGCCTGTAGGCTGTTGGTAGGCTTGAAACATTCTGGACTGACGCATAGTGGAACACTGTATACACTTGTACTTACTCTTCTGTTTTCTGTGGTCATGTCTTTTGCAGCGACAAATATAAATGATGCTTTAATAAGAACAGTTGAAATGATGAATGAAGCTCACAAAGAGAAGGTTTTGCCTGAGAGAAGCTCCTCTACAGTTATAATGCTGACTGATGGGAATCCCACTAGTGGTGAGTGTTCATAGTTATGCTGCCTGTGGGCATCCCACCATTGGTTGGAGCATCTGTAACTGCATCCCTGTGATCAGTCAGGTGCCACTCCTAAGGAGTGTCCAGAAAGCAAAGAACCCATACAGTGACCATAAAAATTATTTAGGGCAGCTATTCACTCCTATTCTGCTGAAGTTTGTCTATTTGGTTGAACCTTGAGACTATTTCTGGAAGGTTTAAAACATTATGGTATCTCTCATTTTTAATTGTCTTTATTTTAATTAGGAACTTTAACTGGTTTCCAAGTTAAAATCAGAAAAAATTGAACCAATCAAAAAATAAAGCCAGACCCATAGCAACTGCAGTTGGGACTTACCTGTAATATCTCTCCTCTCTAGGCTTGTACTTTCTCTATGCTAATTTTTTGTGCATGTATTTTAACCACATAATAGTATTTTTCTAAATATGCTCTTTAAAGGGAAAGACTCTTCTCCGTAAAATTTAATCGCTTTCTGTGCTTTAATGCAGGAGAATTGAACCAAGGAAAAATTCAAGAGAATGTGAAAAATGCCATTCGAGGAAGATATTCCTTATATAACCTTGCCTTTGGCTATGATATGGATTATAATTTTTTAGAGAAGATGGCACTGGAGAACAATGGATTGACTCGCCGTATCTATGAGGATTCTGATTCAGCCTTGCAGCTACAGGTAGGAAGAAACATAATCACCCTAGCCACCAACTCTTACAGATATTAGAATTACCTAATGTACTTTGATGATGTACTTTTTCCAGCATAGCTAACAAGTGATATTAGTAAACAAAGACATGCTTTGTTAATGGTATCAAACATAGTATATAGTGGGGAAACTTCTAAGAATGAGTTTTAAAACTTGAGCATAAGAAATAAGACTAAAAATATTTTTTCTGGTTATTCAGAAGTGGTGTTGAATTCCATTTTGTTTAGGATGTTAAACAGCACCCATCACCAGGCCTGGTTTATTACCCACCGAGTCTCTTCAGGGTGCTCAGCCATTAAAAACACAGCTCAGCTGTGCATCATGAGGAGAAGTTTGTGTCTTATGGGTGGAGGATTATAGATATGGGTTTTCACCACTAGTTTTAAACTCTCACTGGCTGGCCACAGTGATTTTGCATTGAGCTGTGCAGTTGTATTTTCCTAGCCAAATACCTTCTGCTACTTCCTTTTAGTGTCTAGGAAGACTTCTGACAATTTTTGAAGCATAGGTCTGTCAACTCAGAGTGTGAATTGAAGGGGACCTGGTGGAGTCTTATTCCCCTTATTAAAATAAAAAGTATGTAATACATGTGGATGAAGGCAGAAGAGAAAGGGGAGTTCCCTTTGTTAAATGTTCACCATCCAAAGTCATGTTCACTGTAAAAGAATGAGACATTAATCCAAAGCTTGTCTTTCTCTCCAACAGATGTTTGTCCTATAAAAGGTATTTCCCCACCCGCCTTGTCTCCCTAATCCCATGGACAGATCATTTTTTTTTATAACGCAACATTGTATTATCTTCTTGGTTCAGTATCCTGAGCGTGATAGAGAACATTATAGCCCAATACTATAAAGTGCCGAGAAAACATGAAAGTACTGATCAACTCTCATTAAATTCAGTGAGAGAGATTAATGCACTTAGCAATTGTCAGTATAATAACCCCCTAACTATGAAGCAATCACACCTCCTACTTGATCTATGTGTGTTACCCATATAAAGAATTTACAGTTGAACTCCAGTTTTAGGTTGATCTTATGAACGCCTGGTGATATGAACCATTTTTCTGCAGTTGAAATAATCATCTTTCTGCCACCGAATGTGACTTCAGTCCTTTAGCCAACGTTCAAAGTGGCTGTACAGGTTTGAAGAGACTGAGATTTGGTGCCAATAAATAAATAAGTCAGGCACGCTGTATGCATTTGTTACCACTCATTATTGGTAACAGTTTGGGTGTGTGGGAGGGGGCTCAGGGCTAAGGCAGGGGATTAGGGTGTGGGGCGGCACTTACCTCGGGGGGGGGGGCGGCTCCCCAGCTCCCACAGGCAGGTCCCCGCAGCTCTTATGTGGAGGGGACTCCGCACTCACAGGCACCACCCCCACAGCTCCCATTGGCTGCGGTTCCCAGCCAATGGGAGCTGTGGAGCTGGCACTTGTGGCGGGAGCCGTGCGCAGAGCTCCTAGGAGCTGCAGAGACATGCTGGTCAGAGTCGGGTAGGGAGCCTGCCAGCCTCACCAGCCCTCCCACAGCACCAGCGGGGGTCTCAGGCTGCGTGCCACTGCCTGCTCCCCCGCCCCAAAACTAGCCCAGGCTTCACCACACACTTCCCAACCAGCACCTGCAGGGGTTCTGGGCCACCCCTCCCCCAGCACCCGCGGTGCCTCCGGACCGCCCCCCAGCCCAAGTTTTAGTTAGGGGTATATAGTAAAAGTCATGGACAGGTCATGGACCATGAATTTTTGTTTATTGCCCGTGACCTGTCCATGACTTTTACTAAAAATACCTGTGACTAAAATATAGCCTTACTCGTTATGTACACTGTCATTGAAGGATTGATAAATTAATTTATGCACCACATCCAATTTTATTTTTCAGAAGTTCAATTTTAGGAACTCAGTCTCCATTTACTTAATTAAAGGGGGTTTAAACTGGATTTACTAAACTAAACTAAAGATTTACACTTGTTAATTGGGCGGGGTGGGGAGGGGGTTAATAGTCTGGTAGTAAAGAGGTAGCCAGATTGTTGCTCACATCAGATATGCACACTACACTATAGTGAAAAAAGAAAAGGAGTACTTGTGGCACCTTAGAGACTAACCAATCTCTAAGGTGCCACACGTACTCCTTTTCTTTTTGCGAATACAGACTAACACGGCTGCTACGCTGAAACCTGTATACTATAGTGCTCATCTTTGATAGAGAGATGTGGCTGTGGAAAGTAGTAAAAAAAACCAATAAAACACTCTTCATATATAGATCTCAAAGTGCTTTACAAAGGGGTAAGCCTTCATTATCCAAAACAGGGAAACTGAGGTACAGAAGCTACATGTATTAGAGAGGGTCACAGATTTTGGGACTCCTGGTCTGGTTCTCTATCCACTAGAACACACTGCCTTCTAATGTAACATTTTCAACATGCAGTTTTTGAATTCATATAAGCAGCCTGGCCAATCGATTCAAAATGGAAATTTGTATGCTGGGACTATTTCTTTCTGCAGGCTATACCTCCATAGAATAAAAGAGGGCAAATTAGGTATAGCTTTCAGACTCTTGGCTCTTGGTATAGCTTTCAGACTCTTGCAGCCCTTTGTTAGGCAAAATTTGAATGCCTGTGCAGTACCAGATAGTATAGACACTTTTATTTATTTGGATTTGATCCCTTTTTTCCCCTTACAGAGTTTTTATGATGAAGTGGCCAATCCCATGCTTCGAGCAGTGCAACTCCACTACCCTATCAATGCAACATCTGAATTAACTCAGAACAATTTCAATCATTATTATGATGGCTCTGAAATCGTGGTGGCTGGACGTATTATAGACAACGACCTCAACAGCTTTACTGCTGATGTGAAAGCTCAAGGTGTAAGTATTGGTTCTGCTGGGTGTTTATTTTAAGCCTGTTTTATAAAATGTCAAGGCTTGAGTCATGCCAGAAAAATCTTGCAGAAAACATAAAAACAAATAAGAAGACTCTACATCCCCACTCTATAAATGGAATGTGTGTGGCATATTTCAGTGGTCCTACTTATGGATAGTGGTTGCATAATCACCACTAAAAAAATAAGTTTGACATCCAACATACAGTTAATGGGTCAACTTGCAAAAATACCTAACTTATCTAAAAGTTTAAGTCTCTTTGAAAGTAAATGACATTTTTTTCTTTTGAAATGTTTACCAGCTGGCACAATGGTAGACAGTCTATCAAATGGCTCCTGTTACACTGATTTATGTCTCTCTACATGTGGTGGGTTGCCAGTGCCACCACTTCCTCACTGAAAAATAAATCAATGTTATTTGATCTGATAGATGAGTTCTAGCTCTCACCAAACATCCCATAGTGGTAGTTTAGTGTTTCAGTACTTTTGGGACGTGATAACTCAAAAGCATCCCACTATGAATGAGCTACTATGAATTAGCGAAAAGGAGATTAAATCTTCATGCTCTTGCATGCCATTGATTGAGAAGGAAGTCTGAGTATCCAGTTAAATATCTCAGTAACCCCATTGTTTCATATTTGATCTAAATTAAGTGTATTATTGCTGCATTGCCCTTGTATTACCAAATGTGGTAACACTGAGGTGCACTTGGCTGCTACTGTAATTGAACAGGGGTTCATAAAAATACAGAGGTGTCCCAGAATATGTATGTTAGTGTCAGAGCATGGCATGTGTCCAAGTAGAGGTACCCAAAGCCCCACCAAAATTTCTTGTATTATTTTTCACAATTACAGACTAATTTCTTTATCTGACTATATCACATCAGTGTAATTAATTGAAAGTTATTAGAGACCATTTGTTAGTTGCTGCATTTCTGTATGTAAAAAATGCATCCCTAATTGAAATACCTTTACGCAGTGGTGAGATCACTTACATTTTTGTAAACAGCAGATTCTCAATTTCTAACAGGCAAACAATGATGTGACATTTACTGAACAAGTAAATATTGAAGAAACGGCTAAAGCTCTCCACGACCAAGAATACATATTTGGTGATTACATTGAGAGGCTTTGGGCCTATCTAACCATCCAACAATTACTGGAAAAACGGTAACTAAGTATAAAAATGTATACAGTTAAAATCGCTTTGTGTGTTGGTAGTGATCAAAGCTTGTTACTATCAGATAACTGTTGGTTGATGTGATACGAGTTGCTTCAGTTCCCAGTAGACATGTACCCACATCATGAAATCCACTAAAGCATGTCAATCTCAGGAGAAGGGCCAAAGGACTAAATGGGCCATGGAAACTGAACAATTCTCTCCTCTCTCGAAATGGTCCATTCAAATCAGAGCTTTGGAACATTTGAAGGGCAGCATAGGAAATCGTACACTTGTGCTGACACTTGTATCCTATAACTTCTGTGGATAAATAGAACACTTCAGGCTTTCAATCTGTCACCTTTCACCAGCACTTAAATTCTTCCTAAATAAAATGACAAGGAACCCTCCTGTCCACCACCCCGCTCCCCTCCCACACACACACATCTTTGACCATCACTGATTTGCTCTGCGTTCCAGTGGAAATGGACTTGGATCATTTTATTCCTCTTTATGTGGGACAAATTCTGCCTATGTGCATATAATTCATTTTTAATCATAGTGGTAGTAGGCCAGGCATGAGAGTCCTGAATCTCCCCTTCCCTTCCCCCCCCCCTTTTTTTTGCCCCCACCCCACTCCTCTCAGTTTCCATGCTTTATTTCCATCCCCCATAGCTGTCAAGTGGCGCTAAAGATTGGCACAACTACACACAGATCGGGGGCATAAGTGAATGGAGCAACTTGGGCCTTGTAATCTGGGGTCTGAGTAGTTAGGGGAGGGTGCCCGGCATCAACATGCACCTTCATGAAGGCCCCCATTGTTCTCCTGTTTTGGAACCTCCCTTTCCTGTACACATGCATTGTTTAATCATCACTATCTTTGGGGAGTTGGAAGATAGCCCCTGAGTTCCATTAATACCATTCCTTATCCTATAGTGTTCAGCACATACCCTTCCCTGCTCATCCCTTCCCCTCTGCAATTTCCTATTCCCTACTGACTCTAAGAATGAGGGACTAAATCTAGATAGAAACTCAAAGCAGCTCTAGATCTCCCCATGTATTACTGCATATGCCTAACTCAGATTCTGAATTATATACTATATATGCTACAATTATAGCAGCAATGTCTTTGCTTATTAGTCTTCTAAAGGCAAGCAACTTATTACTTTTAGAATAGACTCAGGTTAGAATTTAAATAAATTATTTTGTCACTCAATGGCTTTAGGAATCCTGAATACAATAAATATTTTTTCGTTATAGATGGTCAGGCTTGATCATTTTTCTTTATCCTAGAATGCTTTCCCTCTAAAGTCAGTATTTAATGGAAACTACTGGCTCATGGGGACCTTATTAACTCAGGTGAACAATGCCACAGAAGCCAAATGCAAGATAAACATGCAGGTCTATATTCTACTTTACATCACTTCGTGGTGAGAGTGTAGAATGAATGGAATAGCACTAATCAAACAAGAACCAGTGTAGTAACATTAGATACCTATGTAAAAAATAGACTGATAATGGAACATGTGGTATTGTTTTACATGTATTTTTAAATGTTGTTGCAAAAAAACTGTTGTAAATAGATCAATTGCATGTGCTTTTTACCTATATATATATATTTAATTCAAAGTGAGTCTTTCTATTCAGGTTAAGAACTGCATTAAAAAGACCCAATAGACTTTATTTTAAATAAGCTGTTAGACATATACAACCAACAGCCCACTAGAAAATGCAAAGAAATACTAATTTTTATAGGAAACTCATTTTTATAGAGTATCATCTACTGATAGTCTGTAAAGTACTCTCTGGTGCATGCATGTGTGTGTAGTACTGCCCTCTACTGGACTTTAGGCTATAACCTCTCCATTGCAAAACATAAAAATATTATTATTACTTGACTATGGATGGGTTGGCATTGGACCCGAACTTTAATCTGCACTCACATGAGTTGATACTAACTCAAAGTGTTGCATTCAACTCAGGGGAATTTTATATTAGATCTCATCTTGACAAATAAAGAGGAACTTATCACAGAACTCAAAATACATGGTAAATTAGATAAAAGTGATCATGACTTGATTACATTTGTTATGTGAAATAGAATAACATCTAAGCCAGTAATATACATACTTGGTGCTTTAAAGGGACCATTTTCACAAAGCTGAAAACAATTATGAGCCAAATCAATTGAGAGAGAATTTAAACAGAAAAATGTGAATGATAATTGAGGTCTCTTTTAGAACATTTTACTAGATTACTAGCTGTCTCAAAAGCCACAAACCCACAATCAAGAAAGAAGGTCACGCTGGCTATTGGAAAATTGTCAAAAATGCAGAAAAATCAGAAGTGGTCAATAATTATATTTGTTCTGTACCTGTGGAAAAACACAGATGATGTATGCATATCAAGTGATGAAACACTTTCCATTCCAGCACTAACTCAAGAGGATATTAAACAGCAGCTACTAAAGCGAGACACTTTAAAATCAGCATGTCAGGACAGCTTGCAACAGAGAGCTTTAAAAGAGCTTTCCGAGGAGCTCTCCGGACTGTTAATGTTGTTTTTCAATGTCTTGGAACACTGGTGAAGTTCCAGAGTACTGGGGAAAAGCTCACGCTGTGCCAATACTTAAACAAGACAAACCGAAGTAATTAAAGGTCTGTCAGCCTGATGTTGATGCTGGGCAAAAAATGATGAACATGGGGCTTAATTAATAAAGAATTAAAGGAGGGTGATAAAATGTATGCAGTTAACATATTTTTATGAAAAATAGATCTTGTCAAATTAACTTGATTTTTTATAAGATTGCAAGTTTGTTACAACACAATATTTTGATTAAGAAACTAGAATGATCCAAAATCAGCAAGGCCCACATTAAATTGATTAAAAACGAGTTAGCTGATAGGTCTCAAAATGGAATTGTAAATGGGGAACCATCATCAAGTGGGTGTGTTTCTAATGGGGTCCTGCAGGGATGAGTCCTTGGCCCTACGCTACTGAACATTTTTATTAGTGACCTGGAAGAAAACATAAAATCATCACTGATAAAGTTTCCAGATGATGTAAAGATTGGGGGAGTGGTAAACGATGAAAAGAGCAGTCTCCTGATACAGAGAGGTGTGACACAGAGAGGTCTGGATCTCTTGATAAGCAGGGCACAAGCAAACAATATGTGTTTTAATAAAGCCAAACGTAAGGTCATACATCAAGGAACAAAAACTGTAGGCCATACTTACAGGATGGGGGAAAGCAGTGGCTGTGAAAAGGATTTGGAGATCATGGTGGATAATCAGCAGAACATGAGCTCCCAGTGCAACACTGTGGCCTTGCTAATGCAATCCTTGAATATATAAATGGAGTAGGAAGGTTATTTCACCTGTGGATGTGGCATTGGTACAACCACTGCTGGAATACTGTGTCCAGGTCTGGTGTCCATAGTTCAAGAAGGATGTTGATTTATTGGGAAAGGTTCAGAGAAAGAGCACAAGAATACTTAAAGGATTAGAAAACATACCTTGAGTGATAGACTCAAGGAGCTCAATCTATTTAGCTTCACACAGAGACAGCTAAGGGATGACTTGATTACAGTCTATAAGTACCTGCACGTGGAACAGAAATTTGATAATAAAGGGCTCTTCAATCTAGCAGACAAAGGTATGACAAGATCCTATGGCTGGAAGTTGAAGCTAGACAAATTCCAACTCGAAATAAGGTGAAAATTTTTAACAATGAGGACTACTTATCAAGACTATTGGTGGACTGTCCATTGCTGCAAATTTAAAATCAAGATTGGATTTTTTCTAAAAGACATTCTCCAGTTCAAACAGGAATTAATGCAGGGAAGTACTATGGCCTGTGTTCAGCAGGAGATCAGACTGGATCACAATGGTTCCTTATGGCCTTATTAAAGTATGAATCCCTATACAGTACTTAATGTAACTTAATCTTGAAGTTATATTGATAGGACACCGACAGCCTCTGGTGAATTCAGGAAAAATAGACACACCTGGTCTTCTGCCAAATTAGAGGTGACATCTGCTCATTGTAGAGAGATTTGACTGGTTTTAATCATATCTGCCTTAATATACATGGTTTCCCCATTCCTGCCTGATCTATTTGTGCTGCCCTTTTAACATCCAATGTTTTTAGAGCCTAAGGTTGAGAGTTGTACACACATGCTATAAGTGTGGTTGATGGTTGTATGTAGGTGGCCATATATTAGGAGTTATAAGCAGAGGCAGTCTGCGTATTTTGGGGAAGGGCTAGCATGGTGATTTTTTTTGTCCCTGATGCCAAAACTGAGGAGCCAACATATCCAAAACACAAAGGCCATCTCTGAGTTAAAAGGTTTACAAACAAAACTGTCTATTGATAGTTATCACTATACAATCAGCCAAAGGCATCCTATCCAAAATGTGATGTTTAAACAAAAAGGGAAAAAAAATACCTTGGAAAACTCAATAGGTGCTGGTTGCTTTGGTCCCTGCACTGGAAAATTCAGACAGGGATCTTTTTCACCACTAAAAGACACTGGTAACTACTATTAAAATACAAATACACAGAATTGTTTACTTGAGCATTGGGTGCTGAGACTTGCTGAACAAAAAGTTTTGTAATACTTCATAAGATCCAAATAATATTTCTAACAATAATATTTAAAGCAATAAGACATAACCAATGAATGAAAAACACAGAATCTAAGTTCAGTGGTTTTTGGCTGATTACAGAAGAGAATGTTGCTATTGTAAGCGGGGGAATAGTCCCGCTATTGTGGGGAACTTTCCTGGCTTGTGCACTACCCCGGTGAAGTGGGCTAGCGAAAGGATCTGAGTCCTTGCTCCCACTTCCTTTACCCAGTGGCCTCCCTGCCCTTGAGGACTCCCCTTCCACTCTCCTGTCTGGCAGAGTCCTCGTAACCCCAACAAGGCTGGGCCCAGGATTCCTGGGGGGCTCGACCCCCAACCCTGCTGTGGTCACCTAGGACAGGGGCTAGGGTGTCCCCACTCCGGGGTACTTTCTCTGCACTGGGCACTTCTCTGACCCACTGACCATTACATACAATTTAAAGCAAATGCAAGTTATTTAATCAACAATTAATTTTTTAAAAAATAAGGAAAAATGGGAAAGGTTAAAGGAAACACATCAACCCGCTCTGTGGCAGGGAACATCAAGAACAGTGTCTCTGGGATGTCAGGGCCATTCACAGTCTGTTCCCTGTAAGTCCCAGGCCGCCTTCTCAGGCTCTGGCTGTGCTGTAGGGATGCTGTGGGTTGGACACTTGCTCTGGTGGTGGCCACACGCTCTCAGGCTCTAAGTGGTAGGACCCTTCTTCCCAGTGTTGCCCCTGCCCTGTTGGGGTTGCGATCCAAGCCTGGCCTGCAGAGCCTCATGGCTGAGGTGTCTCCCGGTGCTGGGCCCGCTGCCCAGGGTCCCCCTCGGTCTCCCCAGCTGCTCACTGCTCCCAGCTCCGGACTGCTCCAGCCCCAGCTCCACCCCTCTGTCTCAGCACTGCTGCTGCTCTGCCTCCAGCTCCCTGGGCTGCTTCTTTGGCCCCTCTGCCTCTGGTTGCTGCAGCTCTGCTCCCAGGACAGGTCTGCTCTGCAGGCTGCTTCTGTGACTCTGCTTCCAGCACTGACCTGCTTCGTGGGCTGCTTTTCTGGCCCCTCTGGCTCTGGTTGCTGCAGCTCTGCTCCCAGGGCAAGTCTGCTCTCTCTGGGCTGTGCCTCTGGCTTTGGGGCTGCAGCTCTGCTCCCAGGACAGGGTCTGCTCTCTCTGGGCTCCTTTTCTAGTCCCTCTGGGTCTGGCACAGCTCTGCTCCCCAGCTCAGCTCGGGCCTCTGCTTTCTCCTTAGCTCGGCCCCACTCTGTCTGACCCCGGCAATTCCAGCTCACAGGGAGGACAAGAGCTCCCTGGCCTCCTGACTCCCTGATTAGCCTGCCCGCTCTGTCATTCAGGCTGACCTGGAGCATTGGCCTCTCCCCATTGTTCCTGGGGGCTGTCAGTCTCAGGGTCCGGATTCCCCATCGACCCTTCCCCCTTTTTAGTACTGGGAGCTAGCAACTAAAACACCCCCACTGAATGGTAGTAAAGAGGCAACAGACCCCTTACACTATTATGCAGAAAAATATAATGCAGTGTTTAATGTCCTGACTTTGTAGAAAGTTTCTAAAAAGGTGCAAGCTGCTGTTCTGATTCTCTTCCTGCATTCAGCATTTCAGCTCAAGAAGAAAAACGGAAGAATCTTGCAGCAGAAGCCCTGGAGCTCTCGCTAAAATATAAATTTGTGACTCCCCTCACATCCATGGTGGTAACAAAACCAGAAGATAAAGCTACAATTGCTGATAAACCAGTAGAAGGTAGAGACATTTTCATAGTTTTGCTTCACAATCTAATCGGAGATCGTTTATCTAGAGCTGGTGGGATAAGTCATTGTGAATAAATTATCTGATGTATTTAATCTTATTTTATGTTTACTAATCATTTAAACAAAGCCTGATTTCTGCAAATGTATTAATTATTCACAGATTTTCAAGTAATAATATAAGCAAACAAATTTGGGGCTATGGGTTGTTTGTCACTTTTATAGTCACTAGCATAAGGTGCTTTTGAAAATTTACACGCGAGTGACTTCTGAGCCCAAGTCCCACTGGGTTTCAATGGGACTTAGAATCCTAAATCATTAGGGGCTTTTGAAAACTTTGCTCCAGTGTGTGACTGGTATTGTTCCTCATCACTGACTGGATGATTGAAGCTGTTGAAGCAGGAGAAATAGAGAATAATGTACTTCCTATATGAATTTTCAGACTGAATAATCGTAGACTCTCAGATTTTAACCCTGAAGGAACAATTAGTTGACTTAGTCTCACCTTCTGTATAACACAGGGCATAGACTTTTACCCAGTTATCTCTGTACTGAGTCCAATAACTTGTTTGACTAAAGCCTATCTTCCAGAAAGGAGTCTAGAAGACATCAAGAGATTGTGAGACTTGTAATAAAATCATGAGAGTTGGCAACACTGAAAATTTTCCCTGCAACTGTCTAGCTGTATGATATACGACAAATCTTTATTGCAAGTACTAACCATAACTTGACACAACCACTTCCACAGTATCTTAACCACTATTCTTTTAAGTTCCATGTGTTATGGAATAGATGGGTACAAATTAGCTTATCCTACTCTGTATTGTCTGTGATTATACAACTGAAATTTTATACCATAACACTGATTTTTTTACATATATTGTGTGAACAACCCTTATCTTTTATTCTTCCTTTGCAAGGTCACCTTTGAAGGATCCCCCCAAAACACCTTTGTATTAGAGAGTAAGAATCATGTGAAATAATGTACACTGAAAACTTTCTGAAGAAGGGAAAACTTTTACTGTCTTTTTAATTCTGTTCAGAGCTAAGTGAGGCAATTAAAAAAGAAATGGGATATCCAGGATTTTAGTATCTTAAATGTAGTTAGAGCATCTAAGGTTGTGATGGTGAATATCTTTCCTCTTTATCCTAGCAACTTGAACTGTTGTGAGAAAATGCTTTTCATCAACAGAGCTCCTTGAAATAGTACTGAAAATGGTTTAAGCAGTAATGTAGACAAGACAAAATTATATCCACTACCATTTCAGAAAGTATGTTTGAAGCTTGTAAGGGGTGTGGTGGTGGGGGGAAACTATTTAAAACTTCAGAAGATGCTAGTTTAAAATCATTTTGATTCATCTAACATTTCTTTTTATTTTCTCTTCCCTCCCCCCCCCACCCCGGCAATCTGTCAGATACTTCTATTCAGTATAGTTACCCTTCAAGGGCAAACTCTGGTAAGTTGTCCTTTTTTAAAACATACCTATAAACCATACACAGTTCTCCTTTTTGCAAGAACAAATTTGTGATGTCATCACAGTGCTCTTAAGAGAAAGTTAATGTTACCTGGGGTGTAGGTATTGTGAAAATGAATTCAAGTTAATGTTGATACCAGTAACATAAGAACTTTTCAACATGAATGAAGGCACAATAAAATCATTATCAAAACTATAGGAATAATGTGTGCTTATGTAATTCATAAGTGTTTAGATACCAAAGATAGAGATGTTAATGGGAAATAAAAGCAAACACTTCAAGACAACATATAACACACTAGCTGTACTGTGTAATGTAATTCATGTAGCTTGAAGTGCTATTCTAAAGTCACTGTGCAAAATGACACCATTTTACTTAACATAACTGTTCCTATGGTGTATTCAGAGTCATATCTACCCTCTTTGGTAACAAAAAAATAAGCTTTTATTGTTTTTAATCCTGTTAGCCATGGAGAGTCAAAACAGCTACAAAAGTCAGCTGCTGATTCTATTTGAGCTTGTGCATACTCAACAGAATGTGTCAGTAAGTTTCAATGTAACAGTTATGCGACACGACTGAAGACAGTGGGGTTGTGCAGGTATCACTAAGTGCAGAAAAGGACCTAGGGGTTACAGTGGACGAGAAGCTGGATATGAGTCAACAGTGTGCCCTTGTTGCCAAGAAGGCCAATGGCATTTTGGGATGTATAAGTAGGTGCATCGCCAGTAGATCAAAGGATGTGATTATTCCCCTCTATTCGGCATTGGTGAGGCCTCATCTGGAGTACTGTGTCCAGTTTTGGGCCCCACACTACAAGAAGGATGTGGAAAAATTGGAGAGAGTCTAGCGGAGGGCAACAAAAAAATGATTAGGGGGCTGGAGCACATGACTTATGAGGAGAGGCTGAGGGAACTGGGATTATTTAGTCTGCAGAAGAGACAAATGATGGGGGTTTGATAGCTGCTTTCAACTACCTGAAAGGGGATTCCAAAGAGGATGGATCTAGACTGTTCTCAGTGGTACCAGATGACAGAACAAGGAGTAATGGTCTCAAGTTGCAGTGGGGGAGGTTTAGGTTGGATATTAGGAAAAACTTTTTACTAGGAGGGTGGTGAAGCACTGGAATGCGTTACCTAGGGAGATGGTGGAATCTCCTTCCTTAGAAGTTTTTAAGGTCAGACTTGACAAAGCCCTGGCTGGGATGATTTAGTTGGGAATTGGTCCTGCTTTGAGCAGGGGGTTGGACTAGATGACCTCCTGAGGTCCCTTCCAACCCTGATATTCTACGATTCTATGTTTGGAAGTCGGGGTTTCACATGAGAAACTGACAGTCTAATTTTTTTGGCAAAATCAAAAGATACTTAAGTTGAAAAGAACTGTGCTTGACTCTCAGATCTCAGGTTGACATTGCAAATCTGGCAATTAGAAAATACATCGTTCTCTTTGTAAGCTGTAGACCCTTGATTTGGAATCACTAGAACACGTTAAACATGAATGTCATTTTTACAGGCAAGTACATTTTAAGAACAGAACCGCATTTTAGTCTCAAGATCCTACCTCATTTTCACTGGTAATCACTATGTTAGACGTCCAATCGCCATTAACCTTTTTGGTGAACACCACAACAAAAAAGTCATTTAGCACTTCTGCCATTTCCATATTTTCTGTTGTTGTCTCTCTGATGGGTTCCCCTTGGGGTGCCACCTGGAACTGGGGTACCACTGAGCCTTCCTGACCCACCAGTCTGGGCTCCCTTTACACTGTACTGCTGTGACCAGCCTACCAAGCCCTCTCCCAGGCTCCAGCCTGCACTTTTGCCACAACACATACAGGTAGGGAGAGACCCAGCTGCATTACATACAGACAGGTTCTTTAACCAGTCCTTGCATGGGAAGGCACAGCTAGAGCACCTCCCAGTTCCTAAGGCACATACCTCCTCTCTGGAGTGTAAACCCAAAATTATAACATCTTGCACTGCACAGGGAACTGTACAGCGTAAGCTCAGGAAATTCGCCCCCTCCCTCAATGTGAAGAGGAAATATACACACTGGTTTTAGACAAAGCAAAAACAAGTTTATTAACTACAAAAGATAGATTTTAAGTGATTATAAGGGATAGCAAACAGATCAAAGCAAACTACCTAGGAAATAAACAAAACACGTAAACTAAGCTTAATATACTAAAGAGATTGGATATCAATAGCAAATTCTCACCCTAAACCAGAGGTGGGCAAACTACAGCCTGCGGGCCACATCCAGCCCGCTGGACCCTCCTGCCTAGCCCCTGGCCCCTCCCCTGCTGTTCCTCCTCCCCTGCAGCCTCATCTCACTGCGCTGCCAGCACAGTGCTCTGGGCAGCAGGGCTGTGAGCTCCTGGGGCAGCGCAGCTGCAGAGCCTGGCCTGACCCAGTGCTCTGTGCTGCGCGGTGGCGTGGCTGGCTCCAGCCGGGCAGCACAGCTGTAGCACCACCAGCCACCAGTGCTCCAGGCAGCATGCTAAGGGGGCAGGGAGCAGAGGGGTTGGCTATGGGGCAGGGGAGTTCGGGGAGGGTGGTCGGGGCCAGGGGTGTGGATAGGGTTTCGGGGTGGTCAGAGGGCGGGGAACAGGGGGATTGAATGGGGGTAAGGGTCCTGGGGGCAATCAGGAAGGAAGGGGGGGTTGGATGGGGCAGTGGGGGGTAGTTAGGGGCAGGGATTCCGGGGGTGGTCAGGGAGAAAGGGTGGTTGGATGGGGCAGGGATCCTGGGGGGGGCAGTCAGGAATGAGAGGAGGGGTTGGATGGGGTGGCGGGGGGCATCACGGGTGGGGGTTCCAGGGGCGGTCAGGGGACGGGGGGTGGATGGGACAGGGGTCCCAAGGGGGGCCGTCAGGGGGCAAGAAGCGGGGGGGGTCAGATGGGGGTGGGGGTCAGGCCATGCCTGGCTGTTTGGGGAGGCACAGCCTCCCCTAACCAGCCCTCCATACAATTTTGGAAACCCGATGCGGCCCTCAGGCCAAGAAGTTTGCCCGCCTCTGCCTGAAACGATGATACAAGCAGGCTGCAGGTTCTTAAGGGGCAAGCTGTGCTGGCTGACAGCTTAGAAACCCCAGTTGTTCCATTCACAGGCTAAAAATTCCTTTAGCCTGGGTCCTGCACTTCCCCCCAGTTTAGTCTTTGTTCCTCTCACGCTTCCAGGAGTCTTCTTGAGTGGGGAGTCAGTGAAGAACCTCGATGATGTCACTCCCCTGCCTTATATAGCTTTTGCATATGGTGGAAACCCTTTGTTTCAAAGCTTGGATCCCAGGCCAGTTAGTGGAAAAACACTGGTATCCCAAGATGGAGTCCAGCACCAGATGACCTGGGGACATGTCCCTGTAGCGTCATAGCAGCCATGAGTCAGAGGCTGTTAGTAGAGTCCTCAGGAAGGCCCCGAGGTGAGAAATAAGCTTCTTCTCAGGCCTATAGTTCTCCCTAATGGTTCATTAGCTCTCATCTAGACTGAGAGTCTTTTGTCTAGTGGGTGTTGCCCATATATAAACACATTTATAACACAGATATATAGTCACTATTCCTAACTTCAAATGCAAAAATAATACATACATACAAATCAGATAATAATATTCAGTAAATCACAGCCTTTCCAGTGATATCTCACATGACCTAACTTGCATAGAAGACATCAGAATTACACCATAATAATATCATAATAATATCACTGGGAAGAACGTAGGGTGCAGTGTCACAATCTCTCCTCCCTCCCATTGAGTAATGGGCCTACACTGTGCTTGGTTTTCCTTTTGCTTCTCATGTATTTGTAGAATATTTTCTTTTTACCCTTTGTCTCTAGCTAGTTTAATCTCATTTTGTGCTTTGGCCTTTCTCATTTTTGTCCCTACATGCTTGTGCTGTTTGTTTATATTCATCATTGGTAATTTGACCTAGTTTCCACTTTTTGTAGGATTCTTTTTTTGAGTTTCAGATCACTGAAGATCTCCTGGGTAAGCCAGCGTGGTCTCTTGCCATACTTCCTATCTTTTTTATGCAGTGGGGTAGTTTGCTCTTGTGCCCTTAATAATGTCTCTTTGAAAAACTGCCAACTCTCTCGAACTGTTTTTCCCCTTAGCCTTGCTCGCCATAAGATCTTACCTACCAACTCCCTACGTATGCTAAAGTCTGCCTTCTTGAAATCCATTATCTTTATTGTGCTGTTGTCCTTCCTATCATTCCTTAGAATCATGAACTCTACCATTTCATGATCACTTTCACCCAAGCAGCCTTCCGCTTTCAAATTCTCAACCAGTTCCTCCCTATTTGTCAAAAACAAATCTAGAAAAGCCTCCCTACTTTCTGAAAAAATTGTCTCCAATGCATTCCAAGAACTTGTGAGTAATCTGTGCCCTGCTGTATTATTTTCCCAACAGATGTCTGGGATTTTGTTCACATCTATTTTGTTCTTCTTTGTTGCACTCCTAGTGAATGTCGTTGGGTGGAGAGTCTAAATCCTAATTATCTCAGCCATAACTTACTGTTTCTTTATCACCGAGAGGCTGCTTTTGTAAGTCATTTAATCTGAGACATTGTAATGTTTTTGCAGTTGATGGAGATCCACATTTCCTTATAGATGTGCCACAGAAAAAAGACCATCTTTGCTTCAATATCAATTTAGACCCAGGTGTGGTGTTAAACCTAGTAAATGACCCTGATACAGGTGAGTTAATATTAATCTAAAGTAAAAGGGCAAAAAGGGCACTTCTCCCTGGTGTGAGGTTTATCTGCCATATATCCCCATACTAGGCATTTAAGTGGGTCTAGTTAGGCTTTATAGGGCTCCTATCATATAGCCTGCTGGTTCTCAAACTTTAGCAACCAAAGGACCCCCATTTTGATTTACAATTTTTGCAGACCCCAAAACCCACTGTTCCATCCTAGGCCCTGCCCCCACTCCACCCCAGGCCCTGCCCCCACTCTACCGCTTCCCCCAAGGCACCACCCACCCCCCTCTTCCAGCCCTGCTCTACCCCCACCTCTCCTGTTCCCCACCTCTTTCTGCTCCTCCCCCTCCCTCTCAGCGTCTCCTGCACACCAGCTGTTCCCAGACCTGACTTGTGGAGTACCCTCGCGACCCCCAGGGGTCCATGGACCTCTGTTTGAGAAACCCTGATATAGCCCATAAATAAGAACATACATAAGAACATAAGAATGGCCCTAATGGGTCAGACCAAAGGTCTGTCTAGCCCAGTATCCTGTCATAGAATCATAGAATATCAAGGTTGGAAGGGACCTCAGGAGGTCATCTAGTCCAACCCCGTGCTCAAAGCAGGACCAATCCCCAACTAAATCATCCCAGCCAGGGCTTTGTCAAGCCTGACCTTAAAACCCTCTAAGGAAGGAGAATCCACCACCTCCCTAGGTAACGCATTCCAGTGTTTCACCACCCTCCTAGTGAAAAAGTTTTTCCTAATATCCAACCTAAGCGCCCCTCAATGCAACTTGAGACCATCGCTCCTTGTTCTGTCAAACCAGTGCCAGTGCCAGGTGCCCCAGAGGGAATGACCAGAACAGGTAATCATCAAGTGATCCATCCCTTGTCGCTCATTCCCAACTTCTGGCAAACAGAGGCTAGGGACACCATTCCTGCCCATCCTGGCTAATAGCCATTGGTGGACCTATCCTCCATGAATTTATCTAGGTCTTTTTTGAACCCTGTTATGGTCTTGGCCTTCACAACATCCTCTGGCAAGGAGTTCCACAGGCTGACTGTGCGTTGTGTGAAGAAAAACTTCCTTTTATTTGTTTCAAACCTGCTGCCTATTAATTTCATTTGGTGACCCCTAGTTCTTGTGTTATGAGAAGTAGTAAACAACACTTCCTTATCTACTTTCTCTACCCCTGTCTTGATATTATAGACCTCAATCATATCTCTTTTCCAAGCTGAAAAGTCCCAGCCTTATTAATCTCTATTCATACGGCAGCCATTCCATACCCCTAATAATTTTTGGTGCCCTTTTCTGAACGTTTTCCGATTCCAATATATTTTTTTTGAGATGGGGCAACCACATCTGCACACAGTATTCAAGATGTGGGTGTACCATGGATTTATATAGAGACAACATAGAATCATAGAATATCAGGGTTGGAAGGGACCCCTGAAGGTCATCTAGTCCAACCCCCTGCTCGAAGCAGGACCAATTCCCAGTTAAATCATCCCAGCCAGGGCTTTGTCAAGCCTGACCTTAAAAACCTCTAAGGAAGGAGATTCTACCACCTCCCTAGGTAACGCATTCCAGTGTTTCACCACCCTCTTAGTGAAAAAGTTTTTCCTAATATCCAATCTAAACCTCCCCCACTGCAACTTGAGACCATTACTCCTCGTTCTGTCATCTGCTACCATTGAGAACAGTCTAGAGCCATCCTCTTTGGAACCCCCTTTCAGGTAGTTGAAAGCAGCTATCAAATCCACCCTCATTCTTCTCTTCTGCAGGCTAAACAATCCCAGCTCCCTCAGCCTCTCCTCATAAGTCATGTGTTCCAGACCCCTAATCATTTTTGTTGCCCTTCGCTGGACTCTCTCCAATTTATCCACATCCTTCTTGTAGTGTGGGGCCCAAAACTGGACACAGTACTCCAGATGAGGCCTCACCAATGTCGAATAGAGGGGAACGATCACGTCCCTCGATCTGCTCGCTATGCCCCTACTTATACATCCCAAAATGCCATTGGCCTTCTTGGCAACAAGGGCACACTGCTGACTCATATCCAGCTTCTCGTCCACTGTCACCCCTAGGTCCTTTTCCGCAGAACTGCTGCCTAGCCATTCGGTCCCTAGTCTGTAGCGGTGCATTGGATTCTTCCATCCTAAGTGCAGGACCCTGCACTTACCCTTATTGAACCTCATCAGATTTCTTTTGGCCCAATCCTCCAATTTGTCTAGGTCCTTCTGTATCCTATCCCTCCCCTCCAGCGTATCTACCACTCCTCTCAGTTTAGTATCATCCGCAAATTTGCTGAGAGTGCAATCCACACCATCCTCCAGATCATTTATGAAGATATTGAACAAAACCGGCCCCAGGACCGACCCTTGGGGCACTCCACTTGACACCGGCTGCCAACTAGACATGGAGCCATTGATCGCTACCCGTTGAGCCCGACAATCTAGCCAGCTTTCTACCCACCTTATAGTGCATTCATCCAGCCCATACTTCCTTAACTTGCTGACAAGAATACTGTGGGAGACCGTGTCAAAAGCTTTGCTAAAGTCAAGAAACAATACATCCACTGCTTTCCCTTCATCCACAGAACCAGTAATCTCATCATAAAAGGCGATTAGATTAGTCAGGCATGACCTTCCCTTGGTGAATCCATGCTGGCTGTTCCTGATCACTTTCCTCTCATGCAAGTGCATCAGGATTGATTCTTTGAGGACCTGCTCCATGATTTTTCCAGGGACTGAGGTGAGGCTGACTGGCCTGTAGTTCCCAGGATCCTCCTTCTTCCCTTTTTTAAAGATTGGCACTACATTAGCCTTTTTCCAGTCATCCGGGACTTCCCCGGTTCGCCACGAGTTTTCAAAGATAATGGCCAATGGCTCTGCAATCACAGCCGCCAATTCCTTCAGCACTCTTGGATGCAACTCGTCCGGCCCCATGGACTTGTGCACGTCCAGCTTTTCTAAATAGTCCCTAACCACCTGTATCTACACAGAGGGCTGGCCATCTCTTCCCCATTTTGTGATGCCCAGCGCAGCAGTCTGGGAGCTGACCTTGTTAGTGAAGACAGAGGCAAAAAAAGCATTGAGTACATTAGCTTTTTCCACATCCTCTGTCACTAGGTTGCCTCCCTCATTCAGTAAGGGGCCCACACTTTCCTTGGCTTTCTTCTTGTTGCCAACATACCTGAAGAAACCCTTCTTGTTACTCTTGACATCTCTCGCTAGCTGCAGCTCCAGGTGCGATTTGGCCCTCCTGATATCATTCCTACATGCCCGAGCAATATTTTTATACTCTTCCCTGGTCATATGTCCAACCTTACACTTCTTGTAAGCTTCTTTTTTATGTTTAAGATCCGCTAGGATTTCACCATTAAGCCAAGCTGGTCGCCTGCCATATTTACTATTCTTTCGACTCATTGGGATGGTTTGTCCCTGTAACCTCAACAGGGATTCCTTGAAATACAGCCAGCTCTCCTGGACTCCTTTCCCCTTCAAGTTAGTCCCCCAGGGGATCCTGGCCATCCGTTCCCTGAGGGAGTCGAAGTCTGCTTTCCTGAAGTCCAGGGTCCGTATCCTGCTGCTTACCTTTCTTCCCTGCATCAGGATCCTGAACTCAACCAACTCATGGTCACTGCCTCCCAGATTCCCATCCACTTTTGCTTCCCCCACTAATTCTACCCGGTTTGTGAGCAGCAGGTCAAGAAAAGCGCCCCCCCTAGTTGGCTCCTCTAGCACTTGCGCCAGGAAATTGTCCCCTACGCTTTCCAAAAACTTCCTGGATTGTCTATGCACCGCTGTATTGCTCTCCCAGCAGATATCAGGAAAATTAAAGTCACCCATGAGAATCAGGGCATGCGATCTAGTAGCTTAACATGATATTTTCTATCCTGTTATCTATCCCTTTCTTAATTATTCCCAGCATTCTGTTCGCTTTTTTGACTGCTGCTGCACATTGAGTGGATATTTTCAGAGAACTATCCACAATGACTCCAAGATCTCTTTCTTGAGTGGGAACAGCTAATTTATACCCCCATCATTTTATATGAGTAGTTGAGATTATGCTTTCCAATGTGATTACTTTGCATTTATCAACATCAAATTTCATTTGCCATTTTGTTGCCCAGTCACCCAGTTTTGAGAGATCCTTTTGTAGCTCTTCACAGTCTGCTTGGGTCTTAACTATCTTTAGTAATTTTGTATCATCTGCAAATTTTGCCACCTCACTGTTTACCCCTTTTTCCAGATCATTTATGAATATGTTGAACTCTCCACTCCCTACCCCTAGGATTCAGCTTGCTCTGTAAATCCCCTCACACTTCCTGCAGCAAAGAGGACAGAGAAAAGGACTTTGGTCTGTGAAGACTTCAGGTCTCTCCTTTTCCTGAGGTCCACCAGCGAAATCCCAGGTCTCTTATTTCTGGAGGATGGCCTTTTATCTGCGTTGGACAATGGCCTCAAGCTGCAATAAGCTAAATATTCCTACCAATTCTTAACATTCAATTTCTAAATCCTTTTTTCTATTCAACTTAACTGTGTATCCACGATGGTGTAAGGAAGATGATAAAAACCTACCAGTCCTGAATAGGAAAAATTCCTTCCCACCCCCTAAAACAGGTGATCAGTCAGACCCAAGACATCCTAAAAAAAACAGTTCCTATGCTATCTAACTATGCAGAGGGAGTGTGGGTTTAGATAAAATGGGACAAGAGGCTTGAGAAATCTCAGGCAAGAGTTTAAGTTGATGATCATGGGGAACAATCCCTTATCCCTTTGGCTAGTCAAAGGATGGAGCAGTGCCCCTGGGAAGGAGGTGCCTACTCCTGCATACACTCCCACTTTCATTCCAAAGCTGTCTGGTGCCTTCTGGATCCAATCAAGTCTCCCACCCACTAAACCAGGTGGAGGCATTCTGCTCATCCATCTCCTTAAGTGATATACGACCTGAAACTTGCTAAACTAATGCTCCCTAATGCAACTGCTATGTCAGTGGTCTAAAGCTTCATGTGCAGGAGAGGCCAAAATGAAAAGAAATACAGGCAAGAGACTGAAGGAGAGAAAGGTGGAGTAGTAAATTGGTAGCCAGTGAAAGGATTGGAAATTATGCTATAAAGTGGTTCATCTGCATAGTACTTTCCTTCTCCACGTCATTCCTCAACATTTCCTGATCAGAATCTATCTGTACAGTAATAGCACATTTTGTTCCTTTATAACAGGCATCACAGTTAATGGGCAGCTTATTGGAAAAAAGAAAGTCAGCAACAATGGACAGACCCAGAAAACGTATATTGGAAAACTTGGGATTGTAAATACACAATTGGATTTAAAAATAGAAATAACGACTGAAAAAATCACCCTCCAGAATGGCAGAAAGACAGCCACTTTTACCTGGCTTGATACAATCACCCTACAAAAGGAAGGGTAAAGTACAACACAAAAGCCCAGACTTGTTCAAGAATGTTCAAACTTATGAAAACATTAGTATCTAAATGTAATTAAGGCTGATGGCAGTGGCAAACTGATTGACAAATCCTTGGAAGCCACATGCCCTGTTCGTGCATTCAATTGCTTGTTTCAATACTGTTATGAGTGAGGCTTGGGAGGAAGAAATAAAGTAGAAACATTGCTCAGAGGTACCAAGAAATATGTGTTATTGGAGCTATGGAAATGTTCAGATGCTTAGAGAGGGGTTGGTGCTTCACATTCTGCTGATGAACAAATGAAACAATTTTTTGTACTTCTGAAGTCCAGGCCTAGCTGGACTCATGTGTGGAGGAAGAGAGGAGACAAGAAGAGGCTTGTTTGTGCAACAGTTCTACACAAAAACAGTACTGGGCCAGATCTTCACCTGATATAAATCAGCACAATTCAGATGACCCAGTGGAGCTAATCCGATTTACACCAGCTGATGATTTGCTCTAGTGATTTTAAGCATCAGCCCAGGAGAGAGAGAGGAAGTCATGAAATGCGTACAGAACAACTTGAACTGCACAAATATCTGAATAACTAATTTTTCTGAATCCATTTTAAAAGTGGTTTATTTTTTACTTTGACTTCACTTAAGCTCTAAGACAACAATACAACTTTATTTTGGGACTCGACCTCAGTGTTACAAGGGGTAACCACTATTTGATTTACCGCTCTCAAGCAAATACTTTGCGGTTTGGGGGTTGTTTGAATGTACAAATATTTTTACAAGCTCATAGCAAAGCGCTCTCATCGTGGGGGCTTGTCATTGAGAAAGCCAACAAAATTTTTAAATTGTATTTGTAGAACTAAATTTTCACCATTTTTTTTCTCTTGAAGATGTGTTCATAACATAAAAAGAATTGTGTATATAAACAAAAGGCTCAGCCTCTGGTCATGCTAGGTGCTGATTCAAGAAAGCACTTCTGCACACACTTAGTTGAGCATATGTTTAAGTGCTGTCCCAAACAAGGATGCTTTCCTGAATTAGGATCTTAGATATGAACAGTACCATCCTACAGCTACCTACAGACATAAAGACCTCTGCATCTGTATGGAACCCCACTGACTTCAGTGGAGCTCCAGATGAGCACAGGAGTATCTGTGTGTGCATACAGTGTCAGGATTGAGGTTTTAGTCTCTTCACTCTTCAATTCTTTGCTACCACATATTAAACGTCACTTGTTGAAATATTTTGTTTGATTTATGGATCTTCCAGAAAATTTTGTTTAAAAAAAAACACCCCATCTTACTCTGCCAGATGGATTTTCCATAGATCCCCTGGTCTGTTAGTTAACTTATTGTCCACAATATTAAATGCTGAAAACCAAAACTGAACAGTTGTGAGGTCTCTTCACAAATTTTATCTTTCATCTTTCTTCTCCTGCTGCAGTTTGACTATGGAGATAAACAGGGAAAAGAATCTAGTGCTTTCATTCAGAGATGGTGCAACTTTTATTGTTGTTTTGCATCGAGTATGGAAGAAGCATCCTCTACACCAGGACTTCCTAGGATTCTACACACTGGATAGTCACAAGGTGTCTGAACACACCCATGGCTTATTAGGTAGGAATTCACGTCCATTGAAATGGATGAACACTACCTTAATTTAAAAGACTAACATTTTCCTGACTGGTTCATTTAGGGAAAAGTAATCATGTGTCCACATTCTCAGAGCTAAGATGTACAGAATATGTTAAAAGTATCACCTCCTGTATATTAATTCTTTCATTGTATCTGGTCCTAGTTTGTATATTAAAAATAAAAATGGGATATAGGGCTATAACTTCAATAAAAAACTGCATTATGGAAAAACCTGAGAATATGAAAACATGCTTTGTAAGCGAGAGAGAGTGTATAGCTCATGTCTTAAACTCATAGAAATTACAAATGGAGATGACCTAATAGATCACATTTAGCTCATTCTCTTGGGGTAAGTGCAGAAGTTTTCCCTACAGTATATTTTCGTATGCTTTGTTTAGGCTAGTTTTAAATGTCTCAAGATATGGGATTCTACTACTTCTCTTGGGAGATATGCCATAGACTAATAGGTCTCCCCATTAGGAAGTTTTTCTGGGAATTTCAAAATTTCCTTCTCTTAATTTCATCCCCTCACTGCTAGTTATACCTCTTTGTATGTATCCAATGTAGCTGACAGCCATCCGTTGATTTTACAGCAGTTTTTGATATTGTATTTTCTTCTCTTATTTTCAGGACAGTTTTTCCAGCACATTGATTTTGAAGTTTTTGACATCCGTCCTGGATCTGACCCTGAGAAACCACATGCCACAATGATTGTCAAAAACAATAAACTGACAGTAACTAGGTAACCAAATGATTAGGAAATACTTCCTTACCCGGAAAAGATCTGTAATTTGTGGGGCGGGGGGGGGGGGGGAGATAGGAACATTCTCTAGCTGTTACAGTACAGGATTGGGTTCGGGTCTTTTTTCCATAAAAGACAGGCAACACAATAGTCTCCCTGAGAGACAGAGCACAGTGCGAGAGTCTCCTTCTGTAAGAATCTCCATCTTGAACTGTTTCACAGCACAGCATTCTTCCCCAAGTGAACAGGCAGGAACCTTACATCTACAAAGGTGCAGGACATAACAAAATTATAACCTCTCCTTACAATTATTTAGCTACATATTCCTGATAATGCAACAGACTTGCTGTTTGACCCTGGAAAAGCCACTTAAACCCTGTTTACACTCAAAAAAACTACCTGTTGTTGCCTAGAAGGTACCAACTGAATGGATCCAGCATGATTTAGTGGCAAGCGTAGACAAAGACCGCTACTGTATTCATAGGTAAATACTAGTCTAACCAATTTATACAAAGACAAACCTGGTAAAATTGCTAAGCTCACAAACAGACAGATTCAGAATCAGAGATGCATCACATTACAAAGTACTATTATTTTGGTTAATTCATGCTTTTTGTCTTTGTTTCAGGGTTAGTGAGAAAGATTACGGAAAAGACCCCAGTCATGGAACAATCATCCCCTGCTGGTTTATTCATAACAATGGTACAGGACTGATTGATGGAGCTCACACCAACTATATTGTTTCCAACCTATTTAGCACACCATTTATAAACTAAGCAACAAACGTACATGTGCAATCTCATACTTTAAATAAAATGCTTCCTAATAACCAAGAAACAGTTAGCTACAAGAAAACAATACAGAGAAATAAAGTTGCTTTTACTCATTATTAAATGAAGCTGATCGCTGCAGTTTTTATTCTTTGATACTTTCCCAACTTTGACACATGTGGCATGTCTCAGTAGTCACTTTTGAGTAAATATTATGATCTGGATAGTAATTTTGTCTCCCTTTGGCCTGCGGCATGTGTACATTTAGTATAATGTTTATATGTTTGCTTCAACTACAGACTGTGAGATCTGCTCCTGCTCACATTAAAGTCAATGGCAAAACGTGCATAAACTCCAGTGGGAACAGAATTGTGCCCATTAGTTGTGCCTGGTGGCCCAGTCAATGTGGGTAGCTAGTCACACCAGGAAAGGAAGGTGTACCACTTGATTCTTATTCACCTGACAGGGCAGCATGGTGCATTTATGCCTGCACAGCCGTCTATGCAGAGAGAAAAGGAGCTTCTGTCAGATCAAAGTCTCAACATGTAGGATAGATTTTACTGTTCAGAGGCATTTCTTACCCTTTCCTGGCTTATTTTCCCCAGCCCCTTTGGGAATCAGGTGTCTATGCTATTTCCAGGAGCTCCTGTTCTCTTACTAAGCTTAAATGGCAGGCAGATGACAGCTGCTGCAAGGCTTCTGGATTCTCAGAATAGGTTTAATCCTTCATGTACCAACAATTGGGATGGTTCCATCCAAAGTGTCAAACATCATATATAACATTAAACATACATCCATGAAGATAAAATCCGTGTTTGGCAATTTTAACATAAAATTAAGACTAATAGAGGACTTTTCAGTTGTACTTTACTTTTCAAGAGATGTGCATCTAATTTCCAAACATGCATCATTTATAACATTGGCACAATATTATGGCTTTACAACTCAGAAATATGTATTTCTTTACCCAAGTGTTCTACAAGATAATACAAAGTGACTTGATTCCTGATGCCTGGTCTAAACAGAGGAGCATTATTGGCAGAGTTGGGGGAGGGGAGGGGAGGGGAGCAGGACTGGAATAATTTGAGGTGTTGCAGGACAAGATTTAATTGCATTGGTAAATCTTTATGTAGTTCCAGAACTGGAATAATTGAAGATGGGGAAAGGGATGTTGTGACAGTCTATACTTTTATGGTCATCAATTTTACAAGACTATGATAAATTTTGTACAAAGTATGTCTTGTGAAATATCATTTAAAACATCATCTTCTGCTGAACATTATTGTCCTGGTAAAATAGGTGTATCAACATTGTATGTAAAGTTATATGTTTCTACTGTTTAACATTGCTGTAACGTGTTCCAGAGTTAGAAAAGCAGGCCCAAAGCAGTTTTTCAGAGACAAAGAAAGACTAGCAACCCAGCCAGGTGTTAGAGCTATCACTGGTTTAAACAGCCATTCTTCAGCAATGGAAGGGATAAACAAGAAATTTACATTTCATCACAGAGACGGTTCAATCCACACGTCCACAAGAGACTACTTGTCACCTGCACCCCAGGTGGGGGTAATACTCAAAAATGGGAGTGTGGTATATGAGAGAGAGAGAGAGTGGCCTCCATTTCACCTCTTCTCCTCCCATCTCTCTGCTCATGACATTGACTACCCTCAAAGAACTGAATTAAGGGGGAGTGATCCCAGGCTGAAAGGAGACCCAACCTGTGAAATTTACAACAGCATATGGTGAGACAAAACCTTTGCTTTTAAGTTCACTTAGCTTGTTAAATTAGGTATTAGCTTGCATATTACTCTTTTATTTTCTTTTATAACCAATCCTGACTTTTATGCACCATCACTTGTAATCACTTAAAATCTATCTTTCTGTAGTTAATAAACTTATCTTATTGTTTTACCTTAACCAATGTGTTTGGATTAGAGTGTGTGGGAAACTCCATTTGGGATAACAAAGCTGGTACGTGTATCATTTTCCTTTGATAAAATGATGGACTTTCTGTGAGCTTGCATTATTCAGCAGTGTGCTGGACCGTACAAGATGCACATTCCTCGGGGAACAAGGCTGGTAATTTAAATTTGCCGGTGTCGCCCTGTATGTAATTCTTGAATGACTGGTCAGATTGCTCGTGTTTAGCTGGAAGTGGATTTGCATGCTGAAGGCTATGTGAGCAGACCGGGAGTGGCTGCTCTGACAGTAAAGCAATGTAAAAGGCACCCCAGGCTAGAAAGTTAATGGGACACAGCTGTATCCTGGGTAATGTCACAGATGTAAAGGCCAGAAAGGATGTACACTGGCAGAGCTGGGAACAAAGGTTGACTTAACTCACTCAGTGGCTTGAGACCACAGACAGAAGAAACTTTTTGTGTATGTAAGTACAGTATTAGGTCATTGGGAAAGGGGCTGACAGGAAAATGCCCAACGCTTTTATCATATGACATTGAAAAAAATTAAAATGGCCATATTGTTTGGTATGAATCAGAGTTCCACTGATTCAGGAAAATGCAGTGCTTCTGCTTTTTTTGTGATGCCGTATTTCACATGGTCCATTGACACAACACAAGTAGGCAGAATTCCTGGAATGATGACCAAGCATGAGCTCAGTAAATAACAGAACTTGTATTTATTACTAGAAGAGGGGACAGAGGCAGCTCCCCTGTTGGTGCTACTGAGTCCACAAACACTTTTACTTTTCCTCAGCACGCAGCACACACCCAACTGTGCATTTCCTCTCAGGGCTACTTCCTGAGTCAGAGTCCTTCCCGCTTGGGAGGAGCCACAGGCTTTGAGGCTGTGTCACCCACAGACCCAGCCATCACACTAATTCTGTTACGCTGCTCCTCCTCTTGGAAGAGATGCATCCTCACACTAACATAACAAACCACATGATCAACAGAACAAACTATGAAAACACAATCTTTATGCCAAACTGGCATGCTGGTATGTTGATTGCTACTCAGAGAGGAAATGTCACTACTCAGAGAGGAAATGTCATAACCAGGAGTGCTCTAGGGTGGGACCTATTGCTTCCCTGGCAGGAAAAAGATCCCCTTATTTCGTGCCATGCTTTAACATTGGAGGGTCTCTTGCTAAATTGGCTACCTGGATCAGTATAACTCTTTTTTTGTAGTTCCAAGTGACCGTGTCATCACCAAATCCGTACCTTACCAATGTCCCAACAGATAGCTCCATAATGCTGTCTAGTCTGTCATTATTTTCTATACCTTGGCTCAAATTACCCCTTCCACACTTGAGGGGATTATTACATTTTCTACCAGCATTAACTACATATTATAGTGGCATAATTCCAGAAAATTACAGGGATGTGTTTTCCAATTATAGTACATGTTTTATCCCTCACGTTAAGGTTGACTCCATACCTCGTCAGAAAATCAGTTCCAACCAATGCCCCTCGATCAGAGTCCTTTTCCACAATGAAAACTCATACCAATTTAAGGTTGTCAATTTCTATAGTGGTTTGCCAAATCTGTTACATTCAGCCTTTGACTATTAGCCAGTCTGACTACCCCCAAAGTAGGGCATAAGTTTCTGAGAGCTGTGCCTAGAGGCTTCTTTTCCTACCTTTTCAGACAACACAGCAGCTTGTGCCCCAGAATTGATTGGATCTCACATAAGACTCCCTCAATCTTCCTGGGCAGCTAGATGTCACTCCCCCCATCAGCACTCACATAACTTGGTGGCCTAGCATTTGCCAGTAGATAGCTTGTGGCACTGTTTCCTGCACCAGTCCATCCAACAGCAATCTTCATCAGTGGGCAGTGTGGTTTTAAGTGGCTAGACTGTCCACATTTCCAGCAGGCCTGATCCTCTTCAGCATTTGCTAATTGAACCCTACTCAGAGCATTGCCTTGTTCTTCTTAACCGAAAACCTGCATGCCTCAAGCTCAGTATCTTTTGTCCCTGTGGAGTTACCTGCTGCCTTTCCATCGAAAACTGTCTGACTTGCCTAATCAGAACAAGGAGCAATGGTCTCAAGTTGCAGTGGGGGAGGTTTAGGTTGGATATTAGGAAAAACTTTTCACTAGGAGGGTGGTGAAGCACTGGAATGCGTTACCTAGGGAGGTGGTGGACTCTCCTTCCTTAGAGGTTTTTAAGGTCAGGCTGGGATGATTTAGTTGGGGATTGGTCCTGCTTTGAGCAGGGGGTTGGACTAGATGACCTCCTGAGGTCCCTTCCAACCCTGATATTCTGTGATCAGTATTTCCACTGCTTCCCGCAGACTTTTAATTGTATTACTGATCCCTCCCCCCATTGCTGTGTCCCTGAGCTCCATGACCCTGGATCCTCGCTGCTCCCTCACGTCTTTCTAGCTCATGGAACTCCTCCAGTTCATTTGCTAGCGTGATGGCTTTATCAAGCATCTGGAGTTTTGCACTCCACAGTTGTAGCTGGACATCCCCCCATTAGCAATGATGTGGTCTCGCACTAGGCTGACCTGTTCTACTCTGTCCCATCCTGGGCAGGCTTTTGCTGCTCAAACATTATATATAGTGCTCTTTGTTCTGTCGGTGGGAGATTTATTATCTCAAAGATTTTTGTAACTATTCAAGATGGTGCACTCCACAAAGATGCTTCAAATTGTAGCTGCCAAGACAAAATTTTGACATACACTATAGTGATAGAGTATTTTTAACAGCAGAAGCCTTGTCGTGGACCTTACCAGAGAAGATTAGACAGAGCCCGACCACATTCAGGACTAACTGTCACGCCCAACAGTTTGCTAAGGCCTTTACCCTGTCATGGCATTTTCACATGTCCCTGTCCCACATTTAGGGATTGTCTATATAGGGAAATTGACTGGAAAAGTTATTGTGGAATAAACTATTCTGCAATAACTATTACCTAATACTGCCCTGTGTGGGGACACTAGTCCAGAATAAAAGTCAGTGTATTTAAGAAGAATGGGAGTGCACTAATCATGCTGGCATAAAGTGATTTTTATTCCAGAATAGTGTGTGCATATAAGGAGCTATTTTGCTCAATTTCTGCATGGAGACCACCCCATATATTGGATGAGAAGAAGGAAAGAAGAGAAAAAAACCCAATAACCAAAAATGAAAACTAGTGACAAAAGGAAGACATGAAAATTATTGCCAGTCAACGCATGCTCAATGCTATTAGTAATTGTTCTACGTTTGATCCTAAGCTCATTGAAATGAACAGAAAGATTGTCATTGACTTCAGTGGGCTTTGGATCAGGTTGTTATATACCACAGTAATAGAAAAACCTAAGATGCATAGCTCTGCTTGCTATCAGTGGACAGAGACTCACATTAGAAGCATACTCTGAGGTTCGTTCTTTTTTGTGTATTTATGTTTTTAATTCCATTATTATGAAAGAGTGAAATGTGGATACAAGAGAAAATTCTCCTCTAATACCCTATGCACCACAATTGAAGTCTTAACAGAGTTTTATGTATATGCTGTATGTGAGTGCAAATTTGGCCTAAATAATATAGACTGTAACATGAACAAAACAGAGAGCAGGAGCAAAAACACATCTGGAGGAGCAATAGTTTTGCATCTGCTGTAAAATAAATGTAATTCCCATACCTATCATCATCTGAAGCAGGCTAGAACTCAGTTTATGTACCAGAGACTCCATGAAGTCCATTAGGAATTAGCTATTGATTTTACACGGTGATAGGCAACAGTATTAAACCCTTAGTGTTTGTCATGTCCTAGGTACTTCAAAGAACTTTCTAAAGTATTATGGTTGGATAAAACGGTTACTCATCTTCTCGTAACTGTTGTTCTTTGAGCTGTGTTGTTCATGGCCATTCCAATCAGGTGTGTGTGTGTGCACATGCATAGTAGTCAGAAGATTTTTCTCAGAGCAGCAACCATCGGGTCAGCTTGGGTGCCTCCTGGAGTCGCGTCTTCTTGACTCTCAATGTAGAGCCGGGCTGACCCACCACCCCCTCAGTTCCTTCTTGCCGGCTACTCCGACAGAGGGGTAGGAGGGTGGGTATTGGAATGGACATGAACAACACATCTCGAAGAACAACAGCTATGAGAAGGTGAGTAACCATTTTTCTTCTTCGAGTGCTTGTTCGTGTCCATTCCAATCAGGTGACTCACAAGCCCAAGTTGAGGAGGTGGGGTCAGAGTCGTCCACTGATTGGAGTACTTCTCTTCCAAAGGCAGCATCACTTCTGGCCTGCTGGGTGATTGCATAGTACCTGGTGAAAGTGCGTACGGAGGATCATGTCATTGCTCTGCAGATTTCCTGGGTGGGAACCTGAGCCAGGAACACCATTGACGAGGCCTGAGCCCTGATGAAGTGCGCGGTGATTGGAAGAGTGGGCACCTTTGCCAGGTTGTAGCACTCACTGATGTAGGACGTGATCCATGAGGAAATTCACTGAAAAGAGACAGAAATAACTGGACCAACTGTTGGAATGGCTTCGTTCTTCTGATGTAGAAGGTTAGCGCTCTGCGGACATCCAATCAGTTAAGCCTTTCCTCCCTGCCGCTCGAGTGAGGCTTAGGATAGAATACTGGGAGGAAGATGTCCTGGTTCATCTGAAACTGGGAGACAACCTTCAGGAGGAAAGCCAGGTGGGGCCCAAGCTGAACTTTGTCCTTCTCGAACATAGTGTAAGGGGGCTCTGATGTCAGGGCCTTGAGCTCAGATACACTTCTGGCCGAGGTTATCGCTACCAGAAATGCTACTTTGTATGAGAAAGAGAGAGCAGGGAGCACATTGCCAAAGGTTCAAAGGGTGGTCCCATGAGTCTGGAAAGGACCAAATTGAGGTCCCAAGCTGGGACAGGCTGCCGGACACACAGGTATAGCCTGTCAGGACCTTTAAGGAAATGACTGACCATAGGGTTAGCAAAGA